TAAACAGCTCTTTTCAGTAACTGCACAGCCTGTTTCTTTCCATAACTTAAACCAAATAAACATTAGCATGGTTTTTCTATTCCTTAAGAATATGGATTTATTTGTTTCCATTAAAAAAAATATTTCCAACTTCAAGTTGGTCACAGTGCCAACAATCACCTGAATGCAAACAGCTGAGCCTCAAGCCAGATCTGGGAAATGTGTCTCAAATAATCAGTTTATAAGTGTTTTAAGACAACAAGGATTGTTGAAATGCTTCTTCTGAATATTTTAGATAGATATTAAAATAGTTTTAATATAATAAAAAACCTGCTTATTTTTCTGAAATGAAACACCAAGGGCTGAGAAAACCACCTCAAAACATGAGTGAGACAGTGTTCAGAGAGTTTTTAAGAGAACAGCTGCAACATTTCCATTCAAAGCAAAAACAACTTCAATGAAAAAAATATAACTTTTACTTCAGTCTACATTTTTTAAGAACTTTTCAATCTTTACCTTGAAACACAAAGAACTCCCACTGAACAGGTCTCCTTTCCAAAAATGTGCAATTTAGAGTTAAGCTAACTGCTACTTACTGTAGCAGTTATACCACTCTGTTAAAATCAGTGCTGACTGGTGAAGTTGGTAATCATGTTTGCACTTCAAACCACAGAACAAACTTCATGTTTTTGTTTAATTCGAGCAGTTACTTTTAGTGCACTCATGAGCAGACACCAAACTCGTAAACGTTTGATTCTGTGAAACAAATAACAGCAAAATAAGCCTGACCACAAATTTAATTAGGATGGTGAAATGGCTCCAAAGGAAGCACAGTGGTCTGCTGTGAGAAACCACAGACCAGGGGAATCCACAGGAGAATTTAACTCAGTGCAAATCACCCAGCTGAAAAGGGCAAAGCTGAGGATGTCTTCAAGGAATGCACAGCTAACAGCTACAGAAAGTTGATGGTTCATTTTTCAAGTGAATATGAGTATGTTTAACTGCTGCATAAAGAAAAAAAAAATATATGATCCAGCTGCAGTTTTATGGTTCTTCTCCAAGGCAGGATGGTACATTTGTGGAATCCAATGAAAATGGTTTGTTTTCCTTTGCCTACAGAAAGAACGTGGTTGGTTTGCTTGTCTGATGTTTGGTGGTTTCTGTAGTTTTCTTTTTCCTTCCTTCCCTACTCCCTCTCTTCTAAGTGGAGAGGTCAAATTTAGCTGGATGTTTTATTGGAACTCATAGGGCTTGGCTCAAACACCAACCAACCGCTGGCTCTCGCTCATTACTGAAATGGCTCATTATTCACTCAGTCTGATTCTATTCAAATCCTGGGAAGTTAATATTCCACTTTACAGTTTATCACCTGCTATCAGAGCTCTGGTGCCTCTTTAAAGCTCCCAGGGTCTCCTTCAGTCCTAGGGGACAATGCAGCACCTCCTCTCTCACTTCCTCTGTGCTGCCTTTAATTCTCAATACACAGAAACACAACTCACTTCTGCAATCACAGCTTTCAACTTCAAGTTGTTTTTATTTTTCTTTTACATGCTTTGGAACCTTTTTTTTTTTTTTTACTCATATCACAAGGCTATCTGGAGTAGTAAGACCTGTGATTCCACTCACCACAATTTGTTGTATACCTGTGTGCCTCAACCCTCCTGTTTATGATGAGGTGAGCAACATAAAATTTTAGCTTATAAAACAAATCCAGTCAAAGAGTCAGGTCTGTGACAGACAAGAAGGGGCTTTACTGACTTGTAGTGTCAGTCACACATGCTGAGTGTAAAATATTTCACAGAAAACGGCTAAAAGTTCTTTTACATGGTAGTTATCCTTGTTCTGGGTTTTCTGACAAGTAACTAAATTTCACCTTACCAGTATTATTTTAATAATCTGTGCTGTTGTTCTTTTGCACAATATATTTCTCAAATTCCCTCTGCATTATCTGCAGGAAGGTGAACACACACAGTGTTCCTACAAAAACCTTTGCTGAGATCTCTACTGTCCCCAAAGCTTTAGTGCCTCCAATGTTACTCTGGTAAGTAAGTGTGCACTTGTTTCCTTGGAACACCATTCCCAACCACATCCCAGGATAGCACAGCATAACCCTCTCCATCAAGGAAAAGCTAGGGCCCCTGTCAGGGAGCTTTTCTTTAGGGCACTGAAGCATATTTTCTCCACCAAACCTGTCAAATCGTGTTCTTTATACTCCAGCTTGTTTTTTTCATTTCCTGTGCTTTAAAAATACCCAAGTAGATTTCCAAGCTCCTCTGCAATTGTTTCAGATCTACATGGGGTGAAAAAGCAATCCATGCTCCTATGGAACTGTGCTAATAAAGTGACCATTCTACACATCTACTATCTAATACATAAAACTATTGTTTTGTCTATTCCATATGTAAAATGTACCTCATGTCAGAGAGCCAATGACATTGGAAAATCCCTCCCAGCCCATGGAGTCCCAGCTGCGCCCGATGCCCACCTTGTCCCCAGCCCAGAGCCCTGAGTGCCACCTCCAGCCCTTCCTGGGACACCTGCAGGGATGGGCACTGCCAAGCTCCCTGGGCAGCCCCTGCCAAGGCCTGAGCAGCCTTTCCATGGGGAAATTCCTGCTGGTGCCCAGCCTGAGCCCAGCCTGAGGCCGTTCCCTCTGCTCCTGTCCCTGTCCCTGGGAGCACAGCCCGACCCCCCGGCTGTCCCCTCCTGGCAGGGAGTTGTGCAGAGCCACAAGGGCCCCCCTGAGCCTCCTTTGCTCCAGGCTCAGCCCCTTCCCAGCTCCCTCAGCCCCTGCTGGGGCTCCAGCCAGGATAGCATCCTAGTGCTATACAAAGAGCAGTGCCATAGGTGCCTTTATCACCACATTTTAAACTTTCATAAATACAGAAAGACTCTTCAGAAAGCACTAAAGCCAAGTCAGCAGCAAAAGTGCCAATGTCCTCTGCAAAGCAGCGCGGCCCGGGCCGGCCCCAGGCTCGGTGCCGCGGTTGCCCGGTAACCGCGCCCGGGCCCTCAGCGTCTGTGACGGCGCCGTGGCCTCAGCGCCCGCAGCCGGCGCTGCTGCTCATTCGCACTCGGCATTAGCCAAGCGAATGGTTCGCAGAGATTGGTCTCTACGAGTCCTGTGATTTCGTGGAGAATTGGTCTCTGTGAGCAACTCCAAAATTCGGAAAACATCGGTCTTTGTGAAGGACTCCTAAATTTGCAGAACTTTGGCTTCTGTGAGGGAGTCCTGAACTTGCAAAGCATTGGTCTTTGTGAGGGAGTCCTGAGTTTTGTTTGAAGGTAAAGATTGACTCAAGTTGTACTTTCTGGTTTTGACACATCTCTGCTCTGAAAGAGAATGCCAGAGGGAAATACAGGATGGGATAATGCCAGTCTTCAGTTTGGTGGCATGTACAGCTGAGGGGATGAACCATATATGGTCTGCTGATGGTGCTTTTTGTCTCACCGAAGAAATGCAACATTTCCTAAATATACTAGTCTATCCTTTTTTTCCTATAGTATTTATTTAAACTACTTATAGGTGAATGAGTTCTGTTCAAGTTTCAGGGGGTTGTTATGATCTGGTTATTAAAATTATTAAGGAGATGCCCCTGGATTAAGGTGCAAAACATGACCATGTGCCAAAGTCAATAGTTTGGATTTTATGGAACAGTAAATGTGAGGAAGAGAAAGGGAGAAAGAAATAGGAAAAGGAGGGGGGGAGGGAGGGAGCTGGGAAGGGGGGAAGAAAGAGAGTGACAGAGAGAGATTTAGTAGAAAATATCACCATTCCATGGATCCCATCCCATTCAATCCTCTTCTGGTCTTCTCTGTGGTGAGGCCTCACAAAATGGAAGACTCCAAAGGATTAATGCAGATTTGGGCAAGGTGGGACTGCCCAGGTACCTCCCTGGGCTGGGGCAAGTTTGGCTCTGTCTCTTGCTACTCTCAAATAATATAAAATCTTTAGCACTAGGATATCCTTTGAGTCTGCCCTGAATTGGGTTGTGGCTTTTCAGATCTGTTGTGTTACTTTGCATGCCCTGCAGTTGTCTGGTGCAAGGCCTCAGGAATGGCTCTGGGGGCACTTTGGAGGTCTTTGATGGGTTATGACACCCCCTCAGCTGCCCCTCATGGGAAGGTCCCCTGGATGTGGCCTTCTGGGGCTGGGGGCTTTTAGAGCTGAGCCAGTTTGTCTGAGGGAGGATGGGTGTCCACTGCCCCTTAGCAGAGGTTGTGCCACACGCCCAGAATTTCCTCCTCCCCCCTCTGTTGATGGGAGGTTTGTGTGCAAACCTGGCCTCAGCAGACGAGTCTGTGGCTATGACTTCCCCAGCCTGAAGGCAGACAGAGCTGATTTTCAGCACAGCTGCTGGGTCTGGCTTTAGTGGGGATGTATTTTTCTCCCTCAGCCTTGTTCACTTCTCCCCAGACCTGAGCTAATGGGACAATAGTGTCAGCTTTATCTTGTCTCAAGTTCCCTTAGGCAGCTTAACTCACAGTGCCAAGTTCCAGTCAGGAGGCATTTTCAGGGAAGGGTGGGCTTGGGTGGTCTCAGCTTCTTTATTCAATTTTGTCACAATGGGCAAAAAGTCCTTTATAGCAATATTTAAGCCATTAGCCATAACACTCCAGTCTCTCTCAAGTCCTGTGAGGAGCAGCTGAGAGAGCAGGGGTTGTTTAGCCTAAAGAAGAGGAGGTCCACTCAAGCTGTTTTTAAATAATATTTAAGCTACAGCTTTGATTATTCTAAGTATTTTTAATGTTGAGCATTTTAGCTCCAGGTTTCAGTATGATCCATCTTTGAATTGCACAAGGTAACCATGTAGTTCAAATAAAGTCCAACTAGAGGCCTAACAATACTAGCTGCTTATGCCAAACAAGCACATAGCTACTTTCAAATCATAGAAAATCTTTAGCACCAGTATATCCCTTGAGTCTGCCATGAACTGGGTTCTGGATTTTCAGAGTTCCATTGTTGTTCCTTCCAGTTCTGTTGAGGCACTGTCACTCATCTGTGACATCATCTTTTCACAATGGCGGCCGGATTCCGGGGAAAGGTACCGGAGCCTCTTTTGCACAGGGACAAACAGAAGCCTATTAATGTGAGTAGCCCCTGGGGCTGTGTTAAGGCTGGAAACTGCCCTGGTGTCCCTGCTCTCCCTGCCCCTGTTGTCCAGCAGTGCTCTGAAGCCGCAGATCCCCTCCCCAGCCCTCTGTGCCATGCTCCTGTTGCTGGAGCTGTCCTGGTGCAGTAGGGAACACTGTGGGATGTGTCAGGGACAGCCCAGCGCCTTGCCTGGCTGTGCCAGCAGAGCCAAGTGAAACCAATGTACAGCTGAAGCCCTCAGCATGGGCTTCTTTCCTTCCCCTTTGCCACAGCAATTCCTTCTGTCAGGCTGGGCACTCACCTGTGCTACTCTGACCAAGCTGCCCTTGGGCACCTGGGCATGTGAGGGGGAGGCTCAAACTCTGCCCTAAGCCTTGAGAGCCACGGCTGGTCCCAGCTGGAAGAGCTTCCAAAGCAGCTGTTCTCTCCCAGCTCCTGGGTGGGCACAGATGCAGCCCTGCAGGCAGCACTGGAGCCAGGGCCACAAAGGTCCCTTGCTGTCTGCAGCTCACTTGACTGAAGATGCCCCACTGCTGAGGCTCTGCCAAGGACATCCCTCTGTTTTCTTCTCTCGAGGGCTCTGTCAGCCCAGAGAGAGAAAACCAATGCTAAGTAACAGAGAGAGCTAAAACTTGGACACATTCCTGTGCACCTCACTCTTGGTACAGCTTGTCTTGCTTGCTTCTCTTGGACTCAGCCAGCAGTGCTTTCTCCTGCCTGTGAGTTTTGAGTGTTGTGCAGGGGTGGAGTTCAGGCAGTTCTGAGAGCTCCTCCCCACTCTCTGGAAAGGTCACTGCCTCAATCCAGTGAAATGTAAGAGGAAACAAATGCCCCAAGAGCAGAAATCCCCAAACATGTTCCATCAAATCACAGAGAGACTCATGGGACAGAGCCATGTGGCTGGAGTATGTGTATTGCACTCTGTATTATTAATTTATTGGTGCTAAGTATTTCAGCAGGCAACTTCCAGGGTTTCCAGAACTGTCCTAGTGGCTGTGATCACAAATTATTCATCAGTGCCACTTGTTCAAGGAAAGCCTTTCTGAACAAGCACATCTCTGACGTTCTTGCTGGTTTTTGTTGGTTTTGGGGTTTTTTTTGGTTTTGTGGGTTTTTTTTTTGTTTTGTTTTTTGTTTTGTTTTGTTTTGTTTTGTTTTGTTTTGTTTTGTTTTGTTTTGTTTTTTGTTTGTTTTGTTTTTTTGCCTTTCAGGTGCCTCCCAGCAAGTACCAGAGGGATCAGATAATCCAGATGAGGAAGGATGCCGGCATTACCTGGCGTTTTCTGCCTGGTCTTACCAAATTACTAAGCTCGGAAGGCATAGAAGTGTTTCTTCCAAAGGTAACCTTTTCCCGCTCTTTTCCTTTCTGTTTAACATGAAGTTTGAAGAGGGTGAGTGCTTGTGACAGGCTCGCCTCCAGCAAAAGACCTCAGTGTCCAGGTCCTGTTGTCATTGCAAACTGCTGGGAGTGGTGGACTGGGAGTCCTGATCTGCACTAAGCCAACACAAATGACCTCTGCTGAAGCTGCTGGGCTGTGCTGGAGTGTAGCTGCCATTGCTAAAACCGGGGGGGAAGGCTGAGGACGCAAAGGCACAAAATTGCCATTTGCCATTCTCCTGCTGAAGGAGCCACCTCTTGCTTTGGTGTGGTCACCATCAAATGCTTGGGGTCACAGCATTCCCTCCACAGTGGCAGCATTGGCCTTTGAGGCCGAGGACCTGCAGGAATTACTTCAGATTTAGCAAAACAAATTGCATTACTGCTTTGGGCTGGAACAATGTGTTGGGACCCTGACGGGGTGTTAGATTTTGCAGGCAGCCAGATGTACAGGGGACTCACCTCCCCTTCCCTCTCATCCTCCTTCCTTTTGGTCAGGTCAGGTTGTCAACCCCATCCCTCTCCCAGCTCACAGCAACACCCAACAAACCAACCTGAACAAATCCAAACTACAAACAACACATAGTACCAACAAATTCCATTCTTTCACTTAAAAACCTTTTGGCTTCAGCCAAATACCACCTCATCTCTCACACCTCCTCTAGTACTGTTCTCTTCTTACTGATGCTTAAGTTCTAGTTCAAAACAGGTATTTGCAGTTGTGTGGGCCTCAGTTTCCCTGTCTCAGAGTAAAGGACATCCCAAAATTGAATCTGATGTAAATTTGTGGGTTTTACTTACTCCATGAGTGCTCAGTCAGTGCTCCAGTGGGCACAGGGCTGTGCTTAAGGAACGTGCTGCCTGGCATTCTGGAGAAGGAAAGCTGGAGAAATAAAAAGAGCAACTTGGCTTGAGCCTGCTCTAAGCTGATCAAGCAGTTCTTGATCAGCTCAGAGCAGAGGTGGGTGAGCCAGAGTTTGCCCAGTGTGTCCTGGGCACACATGCTCACCCAGAGTCTGTGCTTCACTGGGGATCAGTGTAAGGGATCCTTCATGAACTTTCCTCCCAGCAGCTGAACCTCTCCCTGCTCTCTCACCTTTCCAGCCACCTCCAAAACGGAGCGTGTTGGCAGTTTCCCCACGAGAGCTGGTATTTCAGAACGTCGCTGCTCATGAGGTCTCTGAAATGGTGCTGTCTCTCATTAACAAGGACCAGGTAAGTGCTGGCACCTGGAGCTTTAACACTGTGCTGGAAGAGGAGAGTGCTGTCATTCCCCCAGTGTACAGCAAAGCAAGTTATCTGCTGCAGCACATCCAGAAGAAAATGTCTCAGCACCTTGTTCTGCAAGATTATGGAAATCTTCCTGTGCTGGGAACTGTCCCCTGATTTTGGCCATGCATTAATGGTATCTATGCCAAAGGAGTTTCCTGCTCTTGAAAGCTCTGGATTGGTAGGAATGTTGAGCCTGTACAGTTCTTACCTGCTCTCATGCTTTGCCTTGAGCTATACCACATCCTGGGTTTCCTTGGTTAATCTTGGCTCCTGGTAGGAATCTCTGCCTCTCTCAGACTGTTTGGCTCCCTTTGTGCAGCTCACAGTCAGCTCAGGGGCTGAGTCTTCTCCACTTTATGCTGGAATCACTTCTCATTAATGGCATTGGCACTGCAGGAAATGTGTTCTGAAAGAGCCCTGCAATCAGAGTGATGGAGCAGAAGCAGTGGGAGGCCTTTAGGTGCCACTTCAGGCTCCTGCTAAGTTTCATTCAGCTCTGCTCAGCTTTTCCAAAAGCAACACGGTGCTCTGCTTTCCCTTTGGAGAACCACATCACATCCAACGCTCCTGGAGGTTTTCACCTTCACTTGTGATTGTTTTGCAGTTTCCCAAGAGAGTTGAGAGGGAAAAAGTTGAAAAATGTCACCAGTTGTGTTCCAGTGTAAAGAGGAAAACAGAGACCATTGGAATTTCAGTCAGGGAAACATTTCTCAAATGAGCCTTGTGCCAAGAGTGGGCTGGTGGGAAGAGACAGGAGGGAGTCCAAATCATCTGGTTTAGACTTTCTGAGAGCATTTTGGTGCTCAGGGGTTGATGATATCTGTGTGCTAGAAAATGCATGTGTGCTGTGTCTGTGAATCCCAGAGGGCAGCACCTGGCCTGCTGGCTGCAGGCAGGAATGCCCAGCAGCCCAGCTTGCCTGCACAGGCAGCAAGAAGCCCTGGAGAGCCAAGATTGGCTTTGCATACTGGAACCACACTGTCACTCAGTGCTGGTCATGTTTCTCCAGGCAGAAAATGCCTTTGAAGCCCAGAGTCAATAGGCACAGCCTGTCTGTGTTTCCATCACTTTTGGCAAGCTGAATGCTCTCATGGTTTTATGATTCCTCCTTGCTGCTTTACTGCCCGTTTAAATTCTCTTTGCCATCTCCTTGTTTTAGGGATTGTCTTGCTGTGTTCCTTCTTTTGCTTTTCAGGTTTACCTTTATTCCCAGGAAGGCCACAGTGGTTTGGTCTCCTCTCTTGCTGCTCTGCCTGCATGACTCTATCTCCACAACGTCCCTACCCAAACCTCATCTGCTAGAAGGGAATTTTTTCCTTCCCCCCGGACAATTTGATGCTTTGCTTTCAGGTAGCACATTCGCCCCTGGAACATGACAACTTCATGGCTGTGTGCAGGCAGAAGCCAGCAGGTTTTTTGGCCTTGTTGAATATGCAGATGACTTGGTTCAGGTGCTCTGTCTCCATCCTGCTGGTGCTGACCTGCTTGGCCCTTCCTTCCCACCAGGCACTGCCCTACTGGCCCTGGCCACAATGCTGGAGCCAGATAGGAGGGATTCAAGCTCAGCCTTGTGAATGATGTGCCTGTGCCTGCACAGCTGAAAGTGCTTTGGAAAAGGGGCCAGGGAGGGATGTCAGCAGGGCATGGACAGGTCTCCTCTCGTTTCCACAAGTGGCAAAATCATCATGTGATGTCTTTGCAGCAGATTGCTCGGATGGTGAAGGTCTCCATGGAGAGCTCACCTTACTTCCAGCTGGCCTGCCCCAGTGATGTGTACCACATCGTGCCACCAGGCGCCTCTGCCCCTCTGCGCATCCGCTTCAGCCCCGACGAGAACAAGGTGAGGCTGGAGGAGCCAAAGCACACAATGATCTCCACAGCCATTGTTTTCCCTGCACTCTGCTCCAGCCCATTGCATGCTGTGAGCTGGGCTCCAGGCCCTGGGCAGGCAGCCTGCAGCAGCCAGTCACACCTTGGCACTGCTGGCAGGCACTGCAGCCAGGCCTGACAGGCTCTGCTTCCCCTCCCTGCACATCCCTGAGCATTCCCAAGGGAAGATGCACAGGAACAGGATGAAAATGACAAAGAGATGTTGACAGATATTCAGCCATCTCTAGGTCCAGTGGAAGGGGTTTCATTATTATGGAAAACACTCGAGGGACAAAGAGGTCAGAGAGCTTTCCTCCTTCCTGACTGCCAACAGCTTCCCTGCCTGCCCCTGGGCTGGAGCAAAGACGGTGCTTTTTCACCCCCTCTGTTCTGCAGCCTTGCAGCTGTGCTGTCCCAGAGCACAGGTGACCATGGCACAGCTGCAGGGGCAGGGCAGAGGATGTGCTGTGCCCGTGAGCCCAGCCTGGCACAGGCACACTGGGCTCTGGGTGCCCTTGGTCAGCAGGAGGTTGCTGAGCTGCAGGGGACTTGGACACCTGCCTGAAGGAGCTCGTGTAGGGCAGGTACAAGCTGCAGGCAGAGCTGTGGGCCCAGAGCCCATGGCAGTGACACTGCTGGGGCTCTGTCTTCATGCCTGTCACTGTGCTTGCTCTGTCAGCTGGCACCCATTCCGTGCCAAAGGTGCTTCTGCATGGAGGTTTGAACAGCAGTGCTGAGGCCCTGGCAAGTCTGATCTCACTGCTGGCATCTGGAGACTTGTTCATACAGAAGGGTTTAGGACATGGCATGGAAGGGAGGAAGCCTTGCAGGCAAACAAAGAGAGGCCCTTTCCAACAGCATCCTGCAACCTCTTAGCACTGTTCTTCTCCTGACTTGGTTGGAGAGGCAAAGTTAGAGGGGAGTTCTGAGCCAACTGATGTTTCTGCACCAGGCCAGAGGTGCAGGATCTCTTTGGGTGCAGCTGTTTTCTCATCTTCCTCTTGCTGCTTAGAGTCAGTTTAACACTTTGTCCTATTCTCAGACAGTGGGAATATAGAAACCTAAAGAGGAATGTGCTGTGTTCCCTAGCTCCATGTTCCTTAGAAGGAGCTTAGGAATTATTTAATATCATTAAAATTTGTGAGTGAAAATTATGGTGGCCTAGGGCAATTATCCGTATGACCCAAGTGACACCAGAGCTTAATGCCACTGGGATAGCTTTTGCAAAGTGCACTGGTGCCTTTAAAATGTGACATATTAGAAAAACTCAGTGTTCATTTTAGGGTGGAATAGGTAAATTGATGCCATGGATGAGTTACAGTAAATGGTTTTTCTTCTGCCACAGGGATGGCACTAAATGCCCTGTGCTGAGCCAGTTTCTTTTCCTGCAGAATTATTCCCATGAGCTCACCTGCACCACTGCAAAGGAGAAGATCGTTGTGCCACTTCGGGCCATTTTTGCCCGAGCCATCCTGGACTTCCCTGCCCAGGTGGACTTCTCCGAGTGTCCGGTCAAGCACCGCACCCAGAAGATTCTGCTGGTTCGCAATGTCGGTAACCGGACAGCTCATTACCAGCTGAGCACCCAGAGGTGAGGCAGCTCATCTGTCCCTGTGCAAAGGATATCACCTTTGGGTGAGAGCAGAGTTGGGAAAGAGCAGCAAAGGAACCAGAGCATCAGAGCTGCTGCCCTGCAGCCCTGGCTGGAAGTGAGCAGGCAAGCCCTGAAGTCACGCTCAGGAGTGTTATTCCCATCCTGCCATCTGAGGGCAGGAACATGTAACATGGGGCAGCAGTGGGAAGGGAATGGAATGGAAGGTAGTACTGAAGTGTGGCCAGGGATTCCCTTAAATGGCAGCTTCTCTGTTCTGGTGGAATTTCTGGCAAAAGAATAAGAAGAAAATCCCGTGCCTTGCCCCCAGCAGGCACTGATCCCCCCGAGCCCCAGCAGGGACCTGCAGCAGTGCTGGCATCAGCCCCGGGGCAGATGCAGGAGCACGTGCACTGATCTGGCTCTGGGGCTGCTGAGGCCTTGTCTTTCCTCCCCTCCCTCCAAAGTCTCACGTCCAGCACATAAACATTGCTGGCCCAAGGCTTCTCCATCAGCCAGTGATGGTCTCACCAGTGGGAATGGGAACAGCTCAGCCCATCATTGCAGCAAGAGGTCCTGAATGAGCTGAACCTGAAGCAAGTGACATCAATCAAGCTCAGCTTGCCAGATGTTCTCTTTATTTCTGTGTGTGATGTAATCATCACCAAACTCCCCAGAACAGACTTTTAAATGACAGATTGACCAGCAGCAAAGCACCCAGGCCAGGAACTTTTGTTTCCTCAGTGGGGCTGGAGAAGAGCACAAAGCACATTTCCCCTGAGCTGTCCCTGAGCATCAAAGCACAGAGTCTTGTGCTTGTCAGGCAAGAGCTCTTTACCTGGTGACCAATCCTGATGGCTCCTGTTAAATCCAAAGTGCACCAACACATTTGCATTAACATTTCCAACACCTCGCACAGAGTTTCTCTGCTGGGCCAAGCAACAGTTACCAACCTGGATGACAAGCCACAGTCCCAGACTGCATTGCTGGTAAACACACAGAAACCTCCTGTTCTGCTTCCTTGATGTGCTCCTGCTCATGGTGCTTCATTTAGCTGGCATGGGATCCTTCAGACTGTAAATAGCATCTTCCTTTTGGGTTTCCATGTCACTCTATTGCTCTAATCTGCATTTGCACTCTTTCAGAGTTTTGACTGCTCCTTTTCTTAGAGCAGCTTTCATTGAAATGTTGATAAAATGTGCCCTTTTTAGGCTAAATCAGAATATTTTCAAGGCAAAATAAACCAAAGAATCACACTGCAAATTCAACTGTAACTATTCCTTGGTCTTCAAGGAAAAGTTCCTTCTCCCTGTCTGATTCCTAGGCTGTAATATCCCAGGACGGGTAGTGCCCTAACATTGCATCTCCTGAGATGAGGTTTATAGGCAGCAGGAAAAGAGAAATTCCTGAGGCAGTCAGTGTCAAGTTCTGCATGCAGATAGCTCTGAACCCTCTCTGTGCTCTTCACAAACCATTCTCTGATGGGATTGCTGGCAGTGGGACCCTTGAGCCTCATTGCAGAGAGCTGGATGCAGAGTATGGGGGAGCTGAGGTCATTTTACGCCCAGGATCTTGTGAGGGCTGGATCTCCTCAGCAGTGGCTCAGTGGCTGTTTCTGAGCCTGTCTGTTCTGTCCTCTGCTGCCTGTGCTTGGTTTGCTCCCTGCTTGCCCAAGGGAGCTGCAGGGAGCTGCAGTGCAGCAGGAATCTCCTGGCCAGGTGTCCCCCCAGCCCTGATCCCTCTCTTTGTGTTGCAGTCCTTTCTCCGTGGTGCCGATCGCAGGAACTCTGGGTGCTGGGGACACCATGCGGGTGACAGTGAGATTTCATGCGCTGACCAACGGGGACCATTTTGGGTCCCTGGCAGTGTGCTGCAACCCAGGTGAGTGCTGGGCCCTGCAGGGCACAGGACAGTTCTCCACATGGCTCCCTGTTGTCCCTCCCCCTGCATTCCCTCCAGAGGTACCTCCCTGTTCAGCTTTAGCCCAAAGAAAACTGAAAACTCCTTGGTGTTCAGGGGCTTGAGAAAGTGGATCCCGTCTGAAGGGTGAAGATTTTTGATTCCTGTTTTGCTGGGAGTTGCTGAGTGGAGGAAGGAGGATCCCTGATTCTCCACTACCATGTGGCTATGCCTGGGTGAAGTTTTATTTGATTCCTGGGCCGTGCTGGATGTGAGGTCTCCATCAGACTCTCTCCAATGCAATGGATTTCTTGCACACCTCTGTCCCATATGCTGCTTCTCCACTGGCTTGTCACACATCCTTTTTCTATGTGGCCCTTACACATATATGTAGTTTCTGTCTAATAACATTTTCAGGCCCTCAAGTTCCTGTTTGGTGACAAATCAAGACCAATTTTTCCCTGTGCCCATTTCCCAGGCTGTTCATGTTGTTACAAACCTCTCACATCTATCTCCCATTTGATTTCTAGACTGAGGAATCCCATTCAGTCTTAATGTAGAAGCTGCTCTGTACTTATTAATCTTTCTATTGTCCCTTTTTTATTTAATGTGCAATGCTCCAGCTTGGTTTTTGAGATCAGAACAATAGAAAATATTTCAAGACTGATGTGGCTGTGGGTTTGGACAGGGAGATGATGATGATTTTCATGGTGTTCATTTGAGAGTGGTTTGTCATATTGCAGAGCCAGGCTGGTTGTGTTTCCTCACCTGTGTCCCCTCCTGCTGTGCGCTGTCACTTCACTTGTTCCTCTGGGCCTCCTTTTGCTGCCCACCTGCCCCCAGGCATATTTGCTGGTCAGCAACAAGGGATCCAAGGGATCCAAGGGATCAGGAGAGATGGGAGTCTCGTGGGATGCCCAGGGAGACCCTGGGCAAGGCAGGGCTGAACAGGGCTCCTCAGCCCTGTCACCTGAAGGACTTGGATGCAGAAATCCCAGTGATCTGAGTGGGTCACCAGAGCACACTGACCAATCCCACTGTCCATCCTGTCACCTTGGGGCCAAAGCTCTACAAACACACTCAGAACTAAGGGGTTTAAGGAGCTGCCCAGGACATCCTCACCACTCTACACACAGAGCTGTCAGGATGTGACAAATGGACTGATCCACAGAACTGCTCATTCAGATAAAAACTGTGACACCTTCTTTTGTGCCCTGGGATTTGTTCTGTTCCTTGTGCTTCCATCAGCCAGTGAGCTGAGCAAAGACTCCCCTTTGCTTTGTTCCAGGTGAAGAGAGTATCCACACAAAGCTCCATGGAGAAGCTGTAGAGCTCGATGTTGCGTTGAGCACAAATTCCATCGAGGCTGGCAAGACCTTCATCACCATGGCATACCAGACAACCGTGTTCCTGGAAAACAGGAGTAACATCACAGCCCACTTCCAGTGGAAGGCTTTGCCTTCTGAGGAAGATGACTATGAAGAGAAGAGGAGGTTGGTTTGGAAGATGCATTTCAGTGAGATATATGGCCCAAGACTGAAACTAACCTATGGCCTCAGGGGGGTGTTGGTGCTTTTGAATGGTTTAGGCCAAGTAAACCATGCCTGGCACTGGGGTGTGTGTTCCTGGGCTTCAGGAGCTCAGCACTCAGCATTCCAGTTCCATTTATACTCCAACCAGGAATGGCATTTTGGGAAGGAAAGGTTGGTTGCAATGACTGATTTCCTCAGGTTCTAATTGGGCTCTTGTCTCTCTAATCTTCTTCCTACATGACCTGGCAACATTCCTAAATATTTTCTGAGTTGCCAGCCCCTCTTTCCAAAGGTGATGCACCCTCTTTTTTTCTTTTAGTTTCTTCAAAAGTTCCTTTCCCATCCAGGCTGGTTGTCTTCGCTGTCAGCTTGCCCCGTCAGTGTGCCTTTCAGCACACAGGGACAGTCTCTTCCTGTGCCTTCAAGACTTCTTTCTTGAAGTATGTCCATGCTTCCTGAACCCCTTTGTTTTAAGGTCTGTTTCCCAAGGTACTCTCCAAATCAGTCTCTTGAATAGGCTGAATCTGCCCTCCAGAAGTCCAGAGTGGAAATTTTGTTGATGCCCATCCTTGTTTCACCAAATATTGAGAACTCTATTATTTCACAGTGACTGTTCCTCAGACAGTGGTGAGCAGATGAAGTTCATTTAGTTATTAGGGAATCTCCTGGTGATATCCAGTACCTGGACCCCAGGGAGCCAGCAGACTGCCCTGTGGAATGGATCCAGAAGACACCTAGGGCCCTCAGTTCCCCTTAGAAGGGAGTCACCTACTACCACTACCCTTCTTTTCTTCTTAATACTTGAGGCTGTGATCTGCTGACAGACGAAGTGCAACTGAGAGACTCTCCAGACAGAATTTTTTTCTTTAGTGTTGTCTGCCAGACCTTCTGGATCCAGGGCCTCATACCTATTCTGTCAGGACATCTGGGTAGGTGGTGGGGGTCAGGAAGGAATTTTATTACCTCCCCAGTAGAGACCCATTTCTATTCCCCACTGTCTTTTAGGTCTCCTCCTTTTGCCTCATCACAGAAAAGGCAGGGGTCCTCTGACTCCTGCTGAGCTTTTCTCAGGGTTAGAAGGGTGTAGCTCCACCAGTTTATTTCTGTTTTGCTCTCCCTAATTCTCCTCAGCTTTTCCATTTCTTCCTTCAGCTCTGCCACTGGACAGAGCAGATCATTCACCTGCTGACACCACACACAGGTGTCTTTTGCACTAACCTCTGATGTTAGCACCAGGTTCAGACCCTCCCTGCAGCCAGGGGCCTGGACAGCTGCGTCCTTCCTGGGGGCTTCTGTTTGAGTTAGTACACTCTTGCTGGCAGCAGCAGCAGCAACAATGGCTTTTCATCATTTGTAAAATATTGCTGGGGAAAAAAAAAGGGAGAAAGAAGAAATGAAAAAAAAAAAGGCAAGCACCCAAGCATCTCACAACCAGCCAAAGACACAAGGAAGATGGCTGGCTGCACCCTTTTTGTTCAGCCTGATTGTGCCAACTGCCACAAAAAACTGAAAAACCTGTGCCAACTGCCATGCCCAAATTGCCGTGGCAAGTCCCTGTTTGCTGTGGGCCAGGTCGCTCGCACTCCCCAGAGCCATTTTGCATCACCTGCAAAGGACCAGGAGATCGACCCTTGCCTGCTTGAATGGCTGATGAGAGGGTCATTTAGTGCCCTGGGCTTCTTGATTTTCCTCTGTTCTCTCTCTACTTCACAGTGTCTGACTTCCATACAAGCTCTGTGTGTATAAAGAAAATTCCTTTACCTTCTCCAGCTACTTCTCTGGACTATTGATTTCCATTTTTTCCCACTTGCCTGCCTCAGCCTGAGCCCCAGGTGATCCACTTTTCCCTCAGAAGCAATTAAGTTTCCCCAAAGTAAACTTACGCCTGGTTTTGGTTTTGTGGATTTTTGTCCAATTACATCTGTTTTCATGCTTGTTTGTGTCCTAGACTGTCACCAGGACATTTTGTTCTTCTTACTTCCAGTCTTTGGGATGGTTTTAGCTCCAAGACCACTGTCCTGCTGTCAGAGAAGCTTTTGAGATCTCAGAGCAGAGAGGACGTTTTTAGGAGAGGAGATAGTGCAGGACCAGAATATTTACTACCATGCACTGGCATGGGACCCAAAAAGCTCTGGATCATGAAACTCCAGGAGTTTGCTGTCTCCCTCCTGCACAACAAAGTCCCTTCCCCTCTCAAAGCCTCTGTTTTCTTGTATATAAAACCTGCAATGTCACTGAAGGGATGCGGTGCCTGAATTCATCAATTTCCTTTGGAAGTGCTCGGGGATGCTCTTGGGAAAGGCAGAGTAGGGAACAGGGCAGGTCCAAAATGGAAGAAACAAAGAGTGATGCTGGTAACATGTAGCTACAAGCCAGCTTCATCTCCCCTTCCCAGGGAAGTGCTGCAGTGGGTGCTCTGTGACCTTTATGTGCATCCCCCAAACAGCTCAGTGGGAGGAAAAGCCAGCTGAGGTGGTCGGTGGATTCTCCCTCAGTTTTGGCAGAGGCTTTGAGCCAGGAGGTTTCTCTGGAGGGATGTTGGCTTTGGAAACCTCTCCTGAGCTTGCAAGTGTGGGGTGAAACTCCCTGCTGTGCCAGTGAACAACAAGTTATCCTCTGATCCTTGTGGGACCCTCGTGGCTTGGCTCAGCCTTTGCTGGGGAGCTGCTGCTGCTCCTCCCCAAGTGCTTTGCTCTCCTGCACTCCCACTTCTCTCTGCAAATCTGTGGCTTATTAAATGATCAGCTGGCCTTGTCTCTCCCTGGGGCTGCAGGCAGAGTTTTTTGCTGCACCCCTCAGATGAGGAGTGGCTGGAAAACTTCTTGGACGAGAAAGAAGTAGAGAAGGTGCAGGGCTTTTCTATAGATTTCACTACCCTCCTGAGAAGCAGGGTCGAGGAGAAGAAGAAAAGGGTGCACAAAGACCCCCTGCTGTTCGCCAGTGACAATTTTTTCATTGAGCCATTGGTAAGTGACACCCGAGAACCTCATTTTCTTCCTCTTCCTCTTCCTCCTCCCAAGCACCCTTCCCCTGGCTGCAGTCACTGGGCAGATCCTCAGCTGGCCCCATGTGCTGGCAGGGAGGACGTGGAGTTTCTGGAGCGGCTGCAGAGCTCCCTGCTCAAAGCATTTGTGCCCTGCAGGCTCAAGGCAGGGCTGGGAGCCTGACACAGCCCAGCTCTGCTGCCAGGCTGGAGCTCAAGGCCCTGTGTGCGTGTCCTTGCAGTGCCACAGGGAGCAGTTCCTGTAGGCAGGGGCTCCCCCCACACGTGGGGCTCAGCAGAGGCTGTTGGAGCACTGCCAGCTCACACACTGACCTGAAGCTTGCAATGGTTCCCTGGCAAAAGGAGGCCAAATTCAGCCCAAGGTTAATGACAGAAATGCCAATCCCCTCCTGTAACCATGCCTTGCACTATTGCTGAGTGTCCCTTCCAGTGTCATCCTTGGGTGAGCCTGGACACAAGGGTGCAAGGCTGAAATGGGCCTTTGGAGTTCTCCTGCACACAGGGACAGAAAACCTTTTCCTTTTCTGGTGATGCAAGCAAACTGCCACGTGCTCCCATCAGCCAGAGCCCTGATTCTGAGTACTGGCATTGGGAGAGATGATGAATGCCTGGTGTCTGCACGGAGCAAAATCCCTTCTCATCTTGCAGTAAAGCCCAGAATAATCCCAACCTCTGCTTTCTTTCAAAACAGCTTAACTAATATCTGTAGTTCAAGGAAGGGGATCATGTTCTCTTCTTGGTTACTCCTATGGCCCATCTAAGGCCAAGAGCCACCAGTGCACAGTGGCACTTACATCCCATGGAGCTGACAGCAGCATGATGGGACCAAGAGCTTGTGTCAGAGCAGCAGGAATATTGTGGAGAGTGGCAGCTGATCAGCTGAGCATTGAGAGCTTCCAGCGCTGTGTTGAGCTGGGTTTGGAGGCTTTCCTTGGCTGCTTGTGTTGTTCACTCATCATTGATGCTCAATCAAGGCTTACAGGCCTGTGGTTGGAAACAAGAAATGTGGAGTTTGAAGAGCAATGCTTTGCTGTCTCTTTCTGTTGTAGGAGGGAGAAATTGAGCCCAATAGTACGGCTGAAATCACGGTGACCTTCGAACCCCTGGAAGCACTGGTGTATCAAACTGTGGCTTACTGCCATGTCTCAGGTGCAGCTCCTTTGCCCTGCTCCTGTCCCCCTCAGTGAAGCCATGGTGCAAGCCTGAGCCCACTGGGCTCCCATGGAAGTGCTGGGAAGAGTCCCTGGTCAGCAGGGCAGTGCTGGCACATCCCCCCTGGCCCTGCAGCCTCCAGGAAGTCTCCTGTGCAAGGCCAGGGCTCAGAATGCTGGGTCTGCCTTACTGATCCCAGAACAGCCCAGGCAGTGCAGGGAGAGGTTTTCATGCCATGGCTTTGCCAGCATTTCCTCAAAGGCCAGAGAATTCCAGAGCAGAACAGCTTTAGTGAACAAGCACTAAGCCCCTGCAGGCCCCTGGCCTCCAGGATGGGTCCATTTGCCATGGATCCATCATCAGGTGGAAGGAGCTGAGTTAGAAATGTGCTCCCTGGCCCTGGATCACCTCCCAGTGCCCAGACAGCAGCAGAGCAGAGGTGGCTGAGCCCCACTGAGCACAGGGTGTTTGTAGAGGGAGCACCCTTGGCCAGCAGCTGCTTCTCTGCCTGTGTGGGAGTTGTCCCCTTGCAGCTCTCACTCTGTGGAAACAGAACACAGTGCTGAGTGTCAGAAGGGGAGCACTTGGGCAACAAAGGCCTGTGCTCCTGGCCCAGGTAGTTTGGTAATTGCCAAACTCATCATGAGCTTTTGTGCCTGCACTGAATGGATTTCAAAGCTCCTCTAGGTGCATGGGAAGGAAACCACAGAATCACAGTAGGATGAGGGTGGGGTGGACCTTAAAGATCATCTAGTGCCAAGGCCCCTGCCATGGGCAGGGACACCTCCCCCTAGACCAGGTAGCTCCAAGCCCCATCCAGCCTGGCTTGGAACACTTGCAGGGCTGGAACCTCCACAACTTCCCTGGGGAACCTGCTCCAGTGTCTCACCACCCTCACATTAAAAATTGTCTTCCCAATATCTCAACTAAATTTCCTTTCTTTCCATTTCCACCCATTACTGCTTGGTCTGTCACTCCAGGACACCAGAGATGTTTTAAACTGAGCAGGCTGGTGGCTCAAATTGGAAACTAGCGCAAGGAATGGGTTAGAAATTCAAAGTCAGCCCCAAGGGATATCTCCTGAGGGAAGAGAAGAGTCCATATCTCCTCCTGCAGCATCAGGAGCTGACTGCATCCAGCTCAGAGTCAGGGACTGGCACTGAGATAGCCTGGAAAATCCAATGTGACAGAGGGAATGATTGTACTGCAATGGACATCTCTCCCCAGGCCGTGAGAGCAGGATACCCCTGTGCCTCAGAGGGGAAGGCCAAGGACCCTTGATTGAACTCAGCTCTCCTATACTGAACCTTGGGGAGATTTTTATCAACACCTCCTATGTCTATGAGGTGAGCAGCAGGGCTTGGGATGGATCCTGATGGCTCCTGAGGCAGCAGCAAGCCTGGTGGAGCTGTGGAATTGCTGCCAACCTGGGCAGCTGTGAGCAGGGAATATTTGATGTACTGCTCAAACCTGGGGGGTCAGAAACGTGTGTCTGTTGTTCCTGAAGCCCCAGTCCCTGCTTTTGGGCAGCCTTCCTTAGGGATCAGCTGGGAGGCTTCCTGCAAAACAACCCCTTGCCACATGAAACCAACACTGGGTCAAAAAGCTGCATGTTCAGAGGCTTTTGTGGCAGTGCCAGACACAAGGCACCTTTGGACTGGGCTCTGCAGAAGCAGCTGCAACAAACTGGCTGCCTTTGAGCTTCAGCCCACTGCAAACAGCTTCCAGTCAAGTGTCCCTGCTTATTGCTGAAGTCACAGGAAATCCATCCAGCCTCCTGGCTCAGTGCTGGCCATTGCAAAGGGCTTGGGAGTTCTCTCCCTTGCTGACCAGTCCCTCACCACACTTCAGTCTTGGTGCATCTCTGGCTCTGGAAGGAGAAAAGTGTTCCTGGGAATAAAGCAAAGGATTTTTCTACCTATTTGCCTCCCCCCCAATAGTGTCAAGTTTGCAAAAAATTCATGAGGGAGCAACTGAAAGAGGTAGAAAATGAGGCACTACAGCATGCCAGACACTTTCAAAAGCGCGGCTGGGGAAGGGAAAGACACGCTGAGTTTTCTTACCAAAAGATGGTGCTGTCTGTACATTTTGATGCTGATGCCTCATTCTCAATGAATTGTTTCCATGGTATGGGAACAGGTGAATGAGTAGATGGTGCTGTTGGAGCTGTGCTCACTGGGGCAGCAGCAGCTCTGGGGTGATTCACTCCGCAGCTGCAATCACCCCACTTAGGGCTCTCAGGGCCAGCTCCCAATGAGCTTGGTGATGCTGAGCAGAGGTGCACTGCTCTGTGTCCATGGGATAAGCCCAGGGTGACTGCAGGTCTGTGGAGTTGCCACTGCTCTGCATGAAAACCCAAAGGCAGAACTTGTCCTGTTGTATCTTTTGACTTCTGCCATTCAGCAGCACAAAGCATCTTCTGCCTTTGTTGGGTGTTCATTGCATCATTAGACAATAACTCACAAGAAGGGAAGGTTCCACTGTATTTCCACTTTTCCTTCTTCTGCAGGTGGAACTGATTAACATAGGAGCTCTTGATGCTCCCTTCACCTATATCTCTTCAACCACAGAAGTGGACTTCTGCTTCATGGTTGAACCCGAGCGGGGCATGATTGCACCAGGTGGGACCCAGACTGTTCAGATCTCCTTCCATACCACCGTGCTGGGGTGGTTTGAGGAAGAATTTCAGTTCAGTGTGGCTGAAACTCCTACACCTGCGATCCTGACCATCAGGTAAGGACTCTGGGAGCTTGGTGGGCACATCTGTAGCTGTCTCTGGGACATCCCCCACCTACCTCATTTTGGGGTTGAGCAGAGAAAAAAGGTGATGCCTGAGGTCTTAATCTCTGCTGTGATCCTGGCATTGCTTTAGTGTGAGGATGCCTCCTGCCCTGGGTGGTACCTGGGAGCTGGAATGACTCCTCCCTGCAGGGATCTCCCTCTGCCTTGGGCCATGGCAGGCAGTGGGATGGAGCAGCTCTGGGCAGCAGCTGCTCTGGGATGTCCCACCTGAACACCCAGCAAGGCCCCCAGGGCTTTGCAGATGGGCCAGCCTGGGTGATTCTGCAGCAGCAGCAGTGTTTTTAAAAACTTCCATTAATAATCCATGCCAGATGGGCAGCAGCAGCCTCAGCTCCCCTCTCATGCTGTGGGGGACAAGCTGTGCTCCCAGCTCCTGTGCACAGAGTGCTCTGGTGCCTCCTTTGCACAGCCAGCAAAGGGCTGATGTGGGAGTCAGGAACTGTGCAGCAGGAACTGTGCCAAGGACTGGGGCACCATCCCATGGGCTGGTGCCATGGCAGGAGACAATCCTGGCCCAGCCAAAGGGAGAAGGGCTGATCATAGGGGAGGCAGAGCTCAGTCCTCAGCACCACAGCAGTGTGAGGCCTTGTCCCTGCCAGCCTGAGCCATGTGCTGCTAGGATAATGGAGTGGAAGCAGGAGAGCTGATGCTGGCTGCTCTGCAGCTTTGGAGCTGGGCTCCTGCTGTTGGGGGGCACTGGCTCAAGGCAGTAAAGAAATGAAAGCAGTCTGCACTTGATTGTACCAATAAGATAAGGGCGATGGATAAAAAGGAACAAGGAAGTTATTATTTGGCAAGAGAAAAGTGGTGAGTAGGTCTGCCCATAGTGGAGAAACAATTATGCTAGCTTTGTTTTTGGAGGAAAAGTGCTGCTTTTTTAGTTTGGAAATCAAGAGGGAACCTTTCACCATCAAATAATTGATTCTCCTCTGTCCCTCCCCCAAACTGGTCATGGGGTGTTTCTGCATAAGCAGCTTTCTCCTTGAGCAAGGGCAGGTGTCTCTTGTTGAGATGTGCAGAGCAGAGCCAGGTGCAGTCCTGTGAGTGCAACAGAAGGCACAGTTCACTGCTCCTTGATTTTGAACCAAAAGGCAGAGTGGGCATTGATTGGCATCAATCATGAAATCAACTGGTGAGTGTTGTGCAGCTTCAAGTGCTGATTTCAGTGGATGTTGGTGACTTTTGGAGTGTGTCTGCTGAGTTCAAGGCCAGGTGAGGTGCTGTGCTAGATTCAGGACAGCCTGGTTTGGTTGTTGAAGCTCTTGCTCTTGTCTATGCCAGCTGGGGCACTGCTGACAAACCATTCCTTTCCTCTAGGATTCACCTGTCCCCTGGGTAGAACTGTTGCTGCTCTTTTCAGAGGATGTTTGGGGCTCCCCTGGATTCATGTCTCAGAACTGTGTCTGTAATGACTGTGTGGGTCAAACTCTCCTGAGAAAGCTCCTCCATGGGAACAGCAGTTCCAGCTAAGAAGGAGCAAAGCAGGGAACCTGTGGCTGGAAAGGCTGGTTACAGAAGTTTATGGGGACACCTTGATGTCCATCCCATTGCAGCTGGGGAAACTGAGGCACGGAGCCATGTCTGGGTGTGTGTTCAGGGTCCTTCATGGGACCCCCAGCATCCCAGGGGCTTTTCCTGCCTACCCATCAGTGGCTGTTGGCTGCTGGCCACTTGGCTTGAGCTGCCTCCTGTGCACAGGGCCCTGTGCTGAGCACACGGTGCTGTGTTGGTTGGAAACCCAGGGTGCCCTGAGCCCAGGTTTTGTGCCCCGAGCCACGACAGCCGGACCTTTGCAATGCCTTTAACCGAGCCCTTTCCTGCTCTGTCCTCGGCCTCCAGGGGCATCGTCACTGGACCGAATTTACACTTCGACCTCCCTGACCTCGACTTCGGGGACATCTCCTTTGGTGAGTGTTGCCTGGGCTGGGACACAGCGTCAGGGATCTGTGCCTTCCAACAGAAAAGCATCCCTCACTCCTGGTCTGCCCCAGCAGCCTCTTCAGGCTGTGAACTGCAGGGCTGCTGCTGCTGCTGCCTCAGGGGGCATTTTGCCATTGTGAGATCAAATAGAACCAAGGAAGAGAAAGGCAGTATTTTCTAGTGTCTCTGTCCTGCTTTAAAAGACAGATGTCTGCCAAGGAAGGTGGGAATCCTCTTGGAATGCAAAGATGACCCCATCCCTCCAAATTATTATACCTTTGAAATTACAGGGCTCCCAGGCAAAACTATGGGAAAAGGACTAACAGTTCTTTCCTAGACTATATCAGGACAGCACAGACAAGAAGGCAAGAACAGACGTTTCCCAGGGGCCAAGTCCCGTTTTCCCCCTTTGGTGTTGTTGTGATCACAGCAGGAGGAGCTATGGGGTCTGGCAGGGCAGTGATCCCCTCCCAGCCCGCACCGGCAGGGAAGGAGGGAGGGAGAGAAGGACGGAAATGCTCCTTGTGCAAACCCCCAAAGGGCAGGGGGATGTGGGCAGTGCCCAGCAGCAGCAGGCAGGAGCGGGGCAGGCAGGCAGGGTCGATGCCAGCGCTGAGCTGCAGCCAGGGCAGTCCCGGGGCCAAGCACACAACCTCCCGCAGCAGCAGCGGCCGAGCTGCGATCCCCAGCGGGAGGAAGGGAAGCTCCGCTCCCTGCCCAGCCTCAGCTCCCACTGCACAGACACAACTCCCAAAAAAAACCCGAACAAAAAGCCCACCCCAGGACCAAAACCCCCCAAAATCCCTTGGCAACATTCACTACCAAGCCTAAACCCAGAACAATGAAGTTCATCAACTTTTGAAGGAAACTCATTGCCTTTCCTGAGCTGCTTCTTCCCCAGCCTGCATCACCACGGAGGCACTTGTCAAGTTGCCGTGTGAAGAAATGAAACAAGAAAGGCAACAGATAGAAATATGCTTCTGAAGCAGGAGATTGATCCTGCTGAATCCGATTTCATTCCTAAGGTCTCTTCAGCTGAAGGCAGCTGTTGTATCTTTGCTTCTTTGTAACTGTTGACTGTTGTCTGCAGGTGCTGACCTCAGTCTCACTTGAGGTTTTGACATCTGGGTTTGTCCTTTTTGTGCCTCTCTCGTCTCCCTGCTGGAGTCCCTGCTGGAGCTGGCAGTGGTCACTTGGATGGGCACAGAGAAGCTCTGGGCTGCAGCTGCAGTTGTTTATTCTCCCCATCTGTGTTCCAGTGGCTCTTGGTGAGCAGGCCTGGGGAGAAGTGTCCTCCCCACAGAGCTGCCAGCCCAGCCAGAGGTGCACTGCAGAGCAGGCTGTGGCTGCTCTGCAGGCTCTGCAGGACATCCCCACCATGAGTGGCTGTGTCTCTGGCTTTGCAGGATGGAAAGCAAATCTCAGAGCTAAAGTGAGGGAAACCCTTGCAGGCAGCAATCACAGTGAGCAGCATGGCTGTGATGTCCCTGTTTGTTGGCTGAGGTGGGACATGGTTCCTAATTGCTAATCTCAAACCAAGGCTGGGGTGTGCCCCCAGTTGAGTGGACTCTGAGCTGTCATGTGCTCAGTCTGTTTGGCCCAAACCAAGAGATGCTTTAAGGGTCCTGCAGAGAGAAACTGCATTAAGGTGCATCACATTCTAGTCCCTGATTCCATCCTCATTTTCTTTTGCTGTAACTTCTTCTCAATGACAACTCACTGTTTGTGTATCTTGAAAACAATGGGAGTGTTGGCAGACTTACCAGGGAATTTTACAGCTTGAATTTTCAGAGTAAATGCTGGGTCTGGGTGCACACTCATCACTGAGAGATAACTGGTGATGGTTTGGGGTAGGGGAGGGAGCTCCTCCCCATCCCAAAGAGAGAAGCTTGCAGTGTTCAGCAGGGCTAGGAGTGGGCATTTTCAAGGCTGCAGTCTGGAATCAGTGTCAAAGGGAACTCAGTGACGATTAATTCCTCATGCAGCTTCTCGGTGAGCTGTAGTTCACAAAATAAAGAGCTAAACTCCAATCTCACTTTTATCCTGGCAGGATATTCCCACCAGGATCATGCCATAATGGGTGCCTGAATGGATATTTGTGTCCTTTCCTAGGCTTTCCCTGCACCAAGAGCATTTGCCTCACCAACTGCTCCGTGGTGCCCGTGACGTTCAAGCTCCGCATGTCGGACGATGGCACGCAGCCGGCTGTGAGCAGCTTTGATCAAATACACAAAGAAGGTGACCCATCCTGGAGGAAGGGAATTCATTTCTATGTGGAGCCAAGGGAGTTCACAATGAATCCCAGCCAAGGGACCATCCCCTCCCATGGGCGCCAGGACATTGAGGTATGGGAAGAATCCAGCCGTAGATGCTTCAGCACCAGGGCTGAAGCTTCACTGGAGTGTGGGAGGGCTTTAGCTCTGGTGCCAGCTTTGAGCATCCTGGGAGTGAGAGATCTGCACTGCTGGGAGGCCTCTGCTAGCTGGCTTACCCGGGATGTTCCTCAAGGAGCACTGGTTTGTTTCCAAAATCCTACACTGAGATCAATACCATATGGTCAAGTCCTGAAGCCATTCTTGTGTTTTTGAGAGCAATTTCTTTGATTGCAAGTGGGCAGAGCAAGGATGAGGGCAGAAGGTGGCTGTCAGAGAGATGTCATTGTATAAAGCAGTTAGCTTTTCTTCTTGGTCTCATTTCTCCCCATTGCTCCTGGGGAGCAGAAAAATTTGTGTTCACTGCAGGGATCTCCAGTGGAGACAAAACACTCTGCAGCCATGAACTGCCCAGCACCTGCTGGGCCACACTTTGACCTCAGCCTTCTGCTGTAAAGCTGAACTCAGTCTGTTCAAGTCAGATTTCCTCTGCATTTATGTCATTGTAGTCAGATGAGAAATTGGCCCTTTAATTTGAATACAGTGGTGTGTAGAGCTTTAGTCTAATGTTTTAATGAAGCTGACCTATGCTGTGATAGCAAGGTGTGTTTAACAAATCTGGTATTGCCAGAAGGCTTTTGTTACTCTGAGACTGTGCTCTACACATGGACCAGCAGAAGAATTAAAGCCAAATCCTTCCTCAAGAACTGGAGGATGTCACATGTGGGTAATGAGCTTTTGTAAGGAAGAATTTACTGTTCTTTTTTCTACCAGGTGACCCTGTGTTCCAACACCGTCATGAGATTCAAACGGAGATTGCTGGTGGACCTGGAGGGTATTGCTAAGGAAGTGGCATCAGTGGTCATCAAGGCCAGGTACCAGCCCTTCCTGGCCTCCCCCAGGCACTGCCTTGCACAGGCTTTGCTGGCTGCAGCTGCCAAGGAGAAGAGCTGCTTAATGGCCTCATGTTGTGCCAGCTGGACATGAGAACAGCAGTGCTTGGACAGCAGCCTGTGGTGAAAAGCCCCTGCTCACAGCCCAGCACGGTCCTGGGCCCTTTTCTAAAGGGACCAGCAATGATATCATTGATTGGCCTGGGCTTTGGTGCGTGAGGGGGAACAAATTTCCCGAGGGCCTCCTCTCCTTCTTCCTGCAAGAGATGGAGTTGTGCTGGTTGTGACCACCCTGCATTGGTTTGGGACACACCAGGCAGCCTGCTGAGAGTCAGGGTCTGGTTCTGTTCATGAGGGCACATGACAGGGGAAAGTGGCTCCCAGCAAGAGTGGGGAGGGCAAGGTCTTATGAGGGGAAAGCAGCCTTGATGTGGCAGGTCAGCTCCAGTTTTTCTCCTTCCCTGTGTTTCCCATTTTGATCTTTAATGTTCTCAGACTTAAACCAAAAGTCGTTCTTGCTGCAGCAGAATTCCACCCTGCTGTGCTGCTGTGGGTGTCAGTTGAATGCCAAGAGGGATGCAGCTCCCTGGTGCTGTTCCCTCTCCCAGGCAGAGCCATCCAGGCAGTGCCTGGGCTGCCATTTTGTCAAGCAAATGGAGCTGGGGCCAGTCAGTGCCTGGAGCTGTGCAGTGAAGGAGCCAGGGAGCTGCAGGGCCTGGGAGGGGGTGGCTGATCAGCCACTCTGTGGGGCAGCTGCTGTCTTGTGCCCTCCAAGGCTGGGGCCAGCAGCTGAGTTCTCAGGCAGGGCAACAGCACCATGGGAGAGAAGGGAGTCATTTTTATGAGACACTAGGGTTGTGTGTTCCTTGAGCCTTAGTGAGCACTGATCCTTGTTGGGATGGCTCCCCCAGAGCTCGTGGGTCACTGGGACTGTTCCAGGAGTCCTGTCAAGCCTTCTAGGGTAAAGGAGGGGCTGAGGCAGCTGTGGCACAAAGTGCTCTGCCTGGGGTACTTGGCAGCCTCTGGGTGCTGCCTCTCAGGGTTTGCCCCTCCTTGATAAGACATGTTGGAGTGGGAAGAAGTAGAAGACAATTTATCACTGTAGGGCTGTTCAATGCCCATTTGACAGTGACCAACGTGTTCTGCTCCATTTCACAATCTTTGGGGGTAAATGATCTCCATTCTCTCAGTATCTCTGATTCCCTTGGGATCATCTCTTTGCCCAGATGTCTTGTTCCTGAGCTGAATGTGTTCCCCATAGTCCTGGCGTACCATGAGTGCCTCCTGAAGGTGCCATACGAGAGGAAGCTCCTTGTTACGAATCCCTCCAGCCTTCCTGGCTGCTACGGGCTTGTTCTCCAGGTTTGGCATCACATCCACCTCCTCCTGTCAAATATTATTGGGGAGACTATTAGTGGGAAAAAGGGTTTGGATAAGACCTTGCTGGTTTCTATTCAGTCTTAAAGATCTGCTGAGAAAAGGATCCTACCTGAATGTAAACCTTAGGATGCAGTTTAACCTCCTGAGGAAACAGTTTATGTTCTAGTCTAGTCTTCAGGGTGTTTTCTTGTGGGAGGTCTTAGAGGGTTGTGAAAAGCTGCTGCATCCACAGACACCAGTGCCTGTGCTGGCAGCCTCCTTGCAGGATCCCCTGGGAGTGCTAAGCCTACAATTCTTGCAGCTCGTTTGTGCCTTTACCTTTGTCCTGGGGAGTTTTAAACGTCTAAGTTGCTGTTGCAGTGGATGTTAAGGAGTCTAAAGTTTCTTCAGAGGTCCCTCTGAAGTTGCATTTCATTCTGTCCCTTCCAGCAACGCAAGGACGACTCTCCCGTGCTCTACTCCAGCCCCAAGCCCTGTGGGATTGTGCAGCCTTACGGCACTGCAGAGATCCCAGTTATCATCGAAGTGCAGACGCTGGGCGAGCATCGCACCAAGATTCTCGTTGGCGTGTTCGGGGATGAGAGAAACCCACGGGTGAGTGCAAGGGGAGATGTGAGCCTGTGTGCAACTGCTCCTGGCAGGGTGCACAGGGACAGGGATTCTTCCAGGGAAAACAGGCACAGGCTGCTGGGGAGAAGGACAGCAGGGATGGGTGGCACAAACAGCCCATGCCTCATAGGTGGGGATCTCAGTGTCTGACGCAGAAGGTAGTTCATCTAAGCTGGAATTGAGGGGAGTTTTAGTTAATTAAGCTTTAAAATGCTTAACTTTGGAAACACCTGTTTTCAAATGTCTTGTCATCTCTCTGAGCACAAAAGAAGATGTCAGAAGACTTCTGGGAACCTTGAGCTTTGTGTAAAAGAAAGGAAAGCTGGCATTTGAAGACTGGTTGCAAGGATTTAAACTTAGATTAAAACATAATGAAATGATGATGCCAAATTCCCTGGATGGCACCAAACATCTGGGCCATTGTGGCACTGCATGTAAATCAGTGAACAGGAAGGACAGGCAATGCAGGCTGTGCCAGGGAGCTTGAAGTTTGACAAAACAGTTGCTTTCAACTATCAGGCTGCTTACCTTAAAAAGGAGGGTTTCTCCCTGCCAGAATAACCAGTTGTTTAACTGTCAGCCTGGTCTTAACTAGAGATTTCTTGCAAAGCTTTTACCTTTGGGCCAATAATTTGTAGTTTGAAAGGTTCTCTTACCTTAATCCTTTTAAATTTGGAGGTGAACATGTAATTTTCTTTTCCTTTTTTCCCAAAAGCCCAGCATTTCAGCTGGAGTGTGGTAGCTGTCCCTAAAGCAATAACTTGAGCAGGGTTGAGCTGTTTAAGCTTTTTTAGGTTTCCCTGTTGTGGTTTGTTTTGAGTGGTTTTTAATCTTTCTTGCCTGCTTCCTGGAACAGGGAGTAGAATTACGGAGCTCTGGACGGCTGGCAGCAATCTACCCAAGTCCAACTGTGTTAGAGTTTGGCAAGATCCCAGCTCTACAGCCTGCTTCACAAAGCTTTACCCTCTTCAGTGAATGTCTTGTCCCTGTAGACTTCAGCATAGAAATGGTAAGTATCTGTGGGGCTGTTTTCCAGGGAAATGGACTGGTCAGTAGCAGCCATGACTTGGCTTTTAAAAGCAAGATTTCCATATTGCCCTGTGTGAGAGGAGGCAAGATACTCCAATATTCCCTCTGAGCGAGGCAAGAGGAACCTGGCTCTGGAGTGGTTTTAGCTGGGGCACCCCTCAGTGAGGTCAGGTGCAGAGATGTTGGAGCAGCAATTAATCTGGGTTGCGTTGACAAGTTCTCCCTTAATTTTATCTTTTGTCTTTAGCTGTGTGTGTCACATTTTGGAGCTCGAGATCAAGAGAAACCTGTGGTCCTTTGCTCCCCAGAGCATGGATTTCACTGTGGTTTCCCTGTCCCATCTACATTTGCTTTGTGCCAAACTGCTGTTAATAGTAGAGAGCAGGGTGTGAGGTGTGTCCTCAGACTGCTGGTGGGGAGGCAATTTTCACACCTCCTGGGGGTCAAGCCAGCTGGGCAGTGCACACAAAGACAAAGGTGGGGGTTGTGCACCCCCCAGCCTGTGATCTCTGTGCTATTGAAGAGCATCTTTGGGGAGCAGCTGCAGAGAAAGGCTGTTTAATATGTGGGGGCTGCATAGGGCAGAAGGAGCTGGGGCTGCTCCCCTGGCAGGGGGAGCAGGGCTGGTGCAGCCAGGAAGGGCTTGTAGGCTGGGCCTGGGGCTGGCTGGGATGTCTGCTGGAGGGGGAGATCTGTGAGGGGCTTGAGGTTTCTTCTACTTCATGCTGGCTGTGTTGAACTTGTGGAGCTGGTTAAAACCTGATACCATGGATTTGTCTGTGTCTGTGGATAAAGCATCAGGCCATGTGGGAGAGTCCAGCCACAGCCTCCTGGGCCAAGGAGGAGGGGTGTGACTTTTCCTCTTGCTGCTTTTCCAGCTGTTTGGGAGATAAATGTTATTCTAAAGCGAGGGTTTTTTCCAGGGCAGCTTTCCCTGACTCCACAATGGAGTTCTGCTTTCAGCCTCTGCAGGGAGCAATGCCCCTTGGCTGGGTGCTCATGGTGTGTAAAGGTTGGGTTTCATGTGCTCCTGCCAGGGCCAGACCTGCAGAGCTGTGTCTGCACAGCTGTGCTGGTGCAAGGCCTTTCCTCCCTCCTTTGGGCAGCCTCCAGCTCTCTTGGCCAGTCTGTGAAGTCCATGAGAAAGCAGATGACAAGAGTTCTTGGGAAGAGTGGGCCATGCCCACAGAGCACATGTTGTCCAGTTTTCTTTCTGCTTCCTGCTTTCCTGCTCTGCTATAAGCATTTGGAGGTGACTTTTCTTTAGGCAGAGGGCACTGGGGCACCTCTCTACAGCTGATGATTGGTGGGGAGTGAGGGCTTCAGTCCTTTAGGGGGTGTTGAGAAGCACTGATGGCCCCTTGGGAAAGATTAGTTTGGTGTTGGGGTTTTGCTTACCTGGTTTTGCAGAGACATTCTTCAGGCTCTCAGCAGTGTCCTCCAGCCATGTGGTTTCTGCAGTGGGATTTGAGCAGTCCTGCCTTCCTCTGGCCTTGAGCCTTTGTGAGAGGCCAGGAGAGAGAAAGCAGCTTTCCTTGGCCCACAGTGCAGAGAAAGACTGGGGAAGGAACACTCTCCTGAGGATAAGCATCCCTTGGGTTGGGCAAAACGGGGTTAATTGGGTGAGTCCCTTAAAGGAGGGGAAAATACAGGTTGTATGAGCTCTGCTGTTGCCCAGTACTGTAGCTTAACTTTAGGGAGATTAAGCCTTCAGGATTTTTATCCTCCCCTCTTTAGTCTTTCCTTTTCTTATATCCCACAAGACACCAGGGTGTGTGGTTTCCATCCTAAATGCATATTATGCTTGTCTTACAGGCTTCCAAATCCTACTGCTTTGTTATTGAACCCAGTGAAGGAGTGATCCCTGTTTTGGGTGAGGTTCCTGTGACTGTCACAGCAACCCTGGATGACACTGTGGGTTTTGATGACACTGTCCAGCTGTTCATTAGGAACAGCCTTTGGAGCACCGTCTTTCTCCAGGCTTTCGGCATTGGCACCACAATTGTCATAGACAAACCATTTGCCCCAGAGCTCAACTTGGGATACCAATTCAGGTAGGAGATCTCTCCACTCCCACCTCTCCTCCTGTCTCAACAAGGAGCAGTTTTTCTGAAGTCCTTCAGGCAAGATCTTCAGTGTTCAAGGGCCTGACTCCTTCCCTAAAGGCAGAGATTCCTTTACAAACATGTGATGGGCACTTGAGAGTTGTTAGACACCTTCAAAAGCCACTGAAAGGGAAACCAGTTGCTAAATTGCCACAAACTGTCTGTCGTTCTAATCCATTGATGTCCTCACTTGATGGAGTAATGATCTCACAGGCTGCCCCAGAACTAAAGGTTCCTGAAATGGTGCCCAGATGAGGCAGTCCCTCCATGTGGCTGAGGCACCAAGGGAAGATCCTTTCTCTTGCCCTTGCCCTTTCCCAATGGCACCTCCCAGGCAAGCAGGGGCCCTGGGAACAAAGAGACAGGAGGGTGACAACCCCCACCAGGAAGGCAGGAGCCCACAGAGCAGTTCCAGAGGCAGAGTTGCCAGCAGAGTTTGCAAAGTTCACTTCCAAACAGTTTCTAATTGCAAAATGAAATTTCTACAAATGGCTACCAGTGCAGAGCCAAGGCTGATACGAATGAGAGAGGTTCTGCTCCCCTGGTTTCCTCTCCTGGAGCAGGCAGATGATTTTTACCAGCTTGCTGGGATCATCCAGAAACTGCCTCTGAGCCGGCTTTTAGGAATGCCTGCAATCCTACCCCCACACACAAGGTCCCCAAGGGCAGCATCTCAAAGATTCAGTTTCAGCTTTGGGCACAGATTAATACCAAATGCAGCAACAGTATGAATCACCCCAGAACAAACATTTTGGGGGAAAACACCACGTCCTGTTAGCCTCACCTGGAAAATGTTACATTACCATTATAAACATATTTCTCTTTGCAATAATGACATCAAAAGGGCACCTTATCAGACACCACTTCTGGTCCACATTAAGAGCTGGAAATGAAGACAGTCTCTAAGCAATTAACACCTCAGGTTGCTCACTGGGAGCAATCTGATGATCAGGGAAATAGCTACTCTCATACTCTTTTCCATCCTGCCTTCCATTCCAGCCTCGTGCCCTGTCTTCGTCAGTTCAAAGTAACAAACAAGGGCCGCCGTTACCATCAGCTCTTCTGGAGTGCGGAATGCTACAGCCCACCTGAGGAGGGGGGCCAGAGTGTCTCAACCCTCTGTAGTCTCCAAGATGATTCCCAGCGCCCCAAACGTTCCAAGCCTGCGTTTGGGGTGAAGTCACCGAGGATGGGCCTGCAGCGAGGCCAGTCTGAGGACATGGTGCTGCGAGGCTTCTCCCGCATCCCACAGGTGAGATCCCCTCCTCTGGGCTTGTTCCACAAGCCCTTGACATTTGCCTGGGGAAATGAGCAGGGGCCTTCACAAAACTGATTTAAGGCTACTCATTTCTGTGGCAGCACCAGTTGCTTTCCTTGCTGGCCACCATCAGACCAGCTGAGACTTTATTGTGATTCCACAGCTAGCAAAACCCAGTGCTGATCCCAAAGCAGGGGTGGATGGAAATATTGCTCTTTTGGGGCAAGCAGTGTTGCATGCTGAGTCAGCAAAGAAGGGCAGAGAAATAAGTTACACTTAGACTAGGAGTCCAAAAAGAAAGTGAACTAAACAAGTGCCGAGTGGTTTATCTGGGGTGAGCACGGAGTAAAACAAAAGCCATGTCAAGGGAGGGGGTTTCTCACAAGTGCCTTTTGTGCTTTTGGGGTGCAGTGTTACAGACAATTGAGCACAGGAAGAAAAGGGGGCAGGGACTGTAACTGTGGCAGGAATAGGGCCTGTGGTGGGTGCAGAGCCAATGCAGGGCATTTGCAGGGTGCCCTGCCACTACACACTGGTGACAAGTGACTCTTGCTTGCAGGAGGTGCAGGATTATGTGTTCTGTGAAGCCATCATTGGGACATCCCCCTATATGGAAAGGATAATAGAAACAATCATTACCTGTGAGTTCATTCACCCCTCTATAGAAGTATCAGCCAGACAATTCTCTTTCTATGTGGAGAAGGTAAGTCTGGATTGCATGCTGGCATTTTAACAGCATGGCTGAGGGGGGTGTGTGCTTGTGTTAAAGCCCCTCTTTACCCTTCCTGAGGCACTTTGTAAAGTGAGTGAAGATGCTTTTAGAGATGAGACTGGTATTTGACTTCCCCAAAGTAAAAGTGCAGTTCCAGCTGCAGTGCCAAGGAGATGGTGGCCACCCCAGAGAAATGCCAGTTTCTGTGCTCACTGTAAAGGGAGGCTTTTGAGGACCCTCCAAGGCACGGTGATGTCTGTACACTGATGCTGCAGGGAAGCTGGGAAAACTGGAGATTCCTGTGAATTCCTCAGGCTGACAAGGAAAAACCCAACATCTCCTGTGCCTCTCTGCCTTCTGTGCTGTTGGCATGGATGCTTGACGGTACAGCTATATGGATCAGCTCTGTGCATTTCCCTAAGCCTCCTCTGCTTCAAAGGACCCCCAGGCATCCTGCAACTGCAGTGATGATAACACTGAGGCAGAGCAGGTGTCCTTTAGTCTCTGGATCCCAACTCCAGCATCATCTTTCTGCCTCCTGCAAGTTGTCTGAAAAAGAGAAGATGGTTAATGATTTGGTTTCTGTAGTTTCAGGCCTCTCCTCTGGTTCCCGGGCTTCCAGTGAAGTACAGAATTTCTGGAACAGGCAGTTCAGATGTAGTTGAGAAGCTTTTCAGCTCTCCCTGATTCTGCCTGGGTTCTGCTCGATGCCACACACACAAACTGATTTATTGCATACTATGGCACAGCACCTGTTTGGTATCAGTACATGCAGAAGTCGTTTCCCAAAGTCTCTGGTTTCTCTAAACCATGCAGGAAGCCCAGCACAATGCTCAGACAGGAAGGAAGAGCCCAGGCTGATCAGAGCTTTGAGACCACAGACACCTTGTCCCTGTAGCAGGGGCTGCAGGACACGTGGTGCAGACAAAGTGCTTTTTGAGGCTGCTAGAGCCAGGAAGGTTGTGAGAAATGACTGTATGTGAGTGAAGATCCTCTAGTGCTGTTCTGCCCAATAGAGAGACAAAAGTGGAGACAAATGGCCTGGATTCACTTTCTGCTTTAGATCTTGGTCAAGCAGCCACCTCCTCTCAGGGGCCTATTCCCTCATCTGTACTTGGGAGTTTTCCCTGTCCTCCAGAGGATGCTGTGGTTTCTAAACATGAAAAGCATCTGCTGTCAAGAAAAACCTCCTGGAAGGGTAGAAACAAATAGAAAGAGTAAATAGAAATATATGCACTCGTGAGGCTGAAAAATGTGAGCTGCAGCAGAAGCAGAAGGAGGTCTGTTTCTAGTTGAGGCTGTTTTTCCTTGTCTCCTGTTTCCATAGAAACCCAGCGATGTCCTGACACTGCAGTACCAGCCTTTGTCTTTAAAAAACACCTGCCTGCTGCCACTGGACCTCATGCTGCACTTGGAGCAGCCATTCCTGGTCTGTGATAAGGAGCAGCAGCCCCTCCCAGGTGGCCAGGTGAGCAGCCCTGGCCTCCTCCAGTGGGGTCTGAAGAGGAGGGATGTGGTGGTGCCTTTCTGTTGGGAGCTCCTTGAGTCAAGAAGTTTATTCTGTAGCATCAGCAGTGGGCTGGTCTGAGCTGCATCAGCAGAGCTGCTGAAGGAATCAAAATCTTATCTGAATTGAGAAGATCCATCCTGGCTTTAAGGCACAGGGAGAAGGGAGCAGGCAGCTGGGTCTGGGCAAGCCATGCAGGGAAGGTGTCTCCTGGAAAGCCATGCCAGCTCTCCAGCAGCCACCCCCTTGTACTGGGGCTGAGCACAGAAACGGGAGCCTGAGGGATCCTGGACTGGACTGTGGTGCCTGCAGCCAGAGCCCTGCTGGAGAGAGATGAACCATGAACTGAGAAGCCCGTGCTGGGGTCACTTGGAGCATTTACTGTTTCATGCTGTCAGACCTTGGGACATCATCCCACAGGTGATTAATTACTGCTCATCTCCTTGCAGCCTGTGAGAGTGGATGTAGGGGAGACCTGTCATCTCTACATCGTGTTTGACCCAGCTTATGAACTGGATTTTAAGAGCTGGAGAAAAGAGAAGGTTCTGAAGATAGACATGGTCAGGGGCCATCCTTTTGTGGAGCGTATCAGCCTTGAGGGAGAAGTTCACTTCCCAAATCTCCAAATGGAGCCCAGCTCTGTGGAGTTTGGCTTCATCAGGCCTGACACGGAAGAAGTGCGTTCCCTGGAGATGACCAACTGCAGCCCACTGCCCGTCCAGTACCGCTGGTCATTCCGTTCCGACAGCGAGGTGACCAGGTTTAGGTATGTGCACCTTTGCCCTCCCCTTGAAGCTCTTCTTGCTGTGTCCTGTTTGTACTTGGCCAAGAGCAAAGCTGTTTGCCTGGCATCTGACAAATGGCACTGAGCAGCTGTGCTCAGGCTGGATGCTCAGGGAATAGGTTTTCCACCACTTTGGTGCTGCATAGCCCCCACAGTGGTTTCCCCTGGGAAGGAAAGCTGGGGTGAAAGCTGCTTTCTCAGACCTCTGTGACCTGAGACCATGTCCACCTTGATGAAGGGCTCCTAGTCCCAGCTCCCACAGTGCTGCTGAAGGCCCTTCTGGCCCCTCTGCTTTGGGATGGGTCCTCTCTGCAGGAGCTGCTCTCTGCTCCTTGCCTTCCTCCCTCGCGTTGTGCTGGAGGATGCCCAGAAAGTCACAAAAGCAGAGAAAGAGCCACTTAGCACCAGGGCTGATGCTGAACATCTTGTTACCTTCCCTTTCCTTCTTTGCTGAGACAACTCCTTTAGTGCCAGGACGATTTCTTTCCCAGTGGTCAGCTTTCAGTGGACACCTTGGAGTCTTCACTTCCATTTTTTGGTGTCACTTATTATCATTTTGACTTTTCCACCCTGCAACATGTCCCTTATGAGTTCTGAATTGCTTGTCAGCTGGGCTTGTTCATCACATCATCTCCTATCCCTGTCTCCCAGAGAGTTTCTACTTTAGAGTGAAAAATGTCATTGTCTGGGCACCATGGTCCTGGGAAGTTGCCTCAAACCATTCATAAAAACTAAAGACAGTGGAGTAAATGATTAGGGATTTCTTGGGGGTTATGATGAGAGAGCTAGAAATGAAACCCAGCCTTAGATAACAAGCTACAAAGCTGAAGACAGTGATTCTTTGGGGAGCAGGTCATTACAGGCCCTGAATGCCTGTCTGGGAATGGAGCATCCAGGTGGTGTTTGACTGTGGGGAGCACTTGCAACTCAGCAGGGTGACAGGCAGGCACAGTTTGACTGTGTCCCTCACATGGCATTAGAAACACAAGCAGAGTTACCCTGAGCACCTGCTTTAATTTAAAATGGGGAATGTGACCTGAGTCACCTGGGAGGGTTGGAAAATGTCAACCAACCCCCCACCAGTGTCAGGGAAACATTCCTGATAAATACCTGGTGGAGCTGCAGAGTTTCTGGCATTGAGCACTGGGGGGGCTGTGCTGGCTCATCAGTGGCTGGCTCTGCCCCTCAGTGTCTCAGATCTCACCTTTTGCTTGCCTTCTCTGTCTTTTCCTCTCCCACTGTGCTTTTTGCATCCCCACAAAGTGTTAATCCCTGTCCTCTGTAGTTTCTCAATGCAAGCAGTTGCAGCTGCTGCAGCACCTCAGTGTTATCCCTGGGCTGCCATTAGAACAGACCTGCTCCAGCCTGGATTGGGAAGGCCTGGATCAAACCATTTCTCAGTTCAACGTGCCAGCACCCACCCAGGGCTTGCATCCTGACCAGGAGCTGCTCGTGCAGCGGTCCCTCCCTCCCCTGCAGATCCCTGTTCATAGTTATCCTATTTTCCAGAGATGAGCTTTACCCACCTAAATTCACACCCCAACCACCAAAGGGGAAGGCAACCTATTTGGTTCACCCAGCAACTCGATGGAGACACTTCAAGATGAGATATGAGGACACAGCCAGAATGCTGAAAACAATGCAGGATCTTACCCAATCTTTAAGAAACAAGGTAGATTTTCTTGTACATCTACTGCTTGTGTTTCCTCCCCAGCCTTCCACCACCAAGTCGTACTGACCTCCCTTTTTGCTGCCCTGCTGTCCTGTGCCCTGACAGTGGGCTGGGCAGCAGGGCCAGTGGCTGGACGTGGGCTGTGTGGGAGGGAGAAATAGGAGAGTTTTCCTTGGAGAAGCTCACTCAGGTCCTACAGACCTGTGTTGAGTGTGGGATTTTTTGCCTTCACAATGAAAGATGAGGCTTTTATCTGCATCATCATGGTAAGGCCTCCAGCTTCCTTCCCAGAGCAAGCTGGGATGAGTCCTGATCTCCATGGAGCCTCTTCCCAAGGCAGCCAGACTCCCTGTTTGCAGGGCTCTGCTTTCACCCAGAGCTGCTATTGCACTGCTGGCCCTGGAGCTGTCTTACAAACGGAGACTTTGCAAAGTGGCTGTCTCTTCCTCCCAGCATAGAAAATGGCTTCTTTTTCAGGTGCAATCAGATCAACTTCCTGAATACCCTCGCCTCCAAGTAGGGTTTGAGGGAATCAGCATCTCCGTGGACGAACCGCAGACTTCCCTCGAAGCGGAGGAGGTAGGAGGGAATCTGTCTCACTTGCACATTGTCAGTGTGGCAAGCAGGGCTGGAGCTCCCAGTGCCACTGGTGGCCCCAGCATTGGCCACAGAGGGGCCTCCCATCCCTGCAGGCCCATCACAAAGTGCTGCTGAAGCAACTGGTAGTTGGAGAGGCCATGCAGGACACGTTGTAGGGCTGCCCAAGGACACTTTGCAGCACCTATGGAGGGCACTGCTCCCCCTGGAACTCCTCAGGTGGTCCATAGGAAACTTTTGCAGGAGCTTTTGCTATAGCACCTTGAGAAAGCAGCATTTAAATCAGAGAGAGGGAAGAGCCTCAGGAGTCAGATGAGCTGGGCTGGAGTCCTTCGCTCAGCTCCGAGAGCTCTCACTCTGAGCCTCCTCCTTTTCTAAAAGCAGTAAGAAATGCTTTTTAAAGGCAAGTTGTGCATCAGAGAGAATTTCTACTGCCAGGAGACATCCAGTTCACTTTCACGTAATGTACTAATTAATGCATTGATCTGTGAGTGTGGGAGAAGATTTTCCCCATGGTCCCTGCACTGGTCAGTGGCATGGATGCAGGATGAGATGAGGGTGATTCTGGCAGTGTTTGGGGAATAGACCCCTCCAGGTACAGCTGCACTTTGCTCCAAGATGCTCTTCTGCATCCATTGCCATGCTCAACAGCTCAAGCTCTCCTGTCTTCCATCCAGGCTTTCAGTATCCTGCCAATGTCAGGTGTGCTGCAGCCAGGTGAGAGCCAGCAGGTCTCCTTCACCTTCTCTGGCCACCTCAACACCATCTCTGATGTCACGGCGCTGTGCCACGTGGAGGGAGGCCCCACCTACGAGGTGCTGGTGACCGGGGAGATCTCACATTTCAGCTACCTCGTGAGGCCCCAGGAGATCAACTGTGGCTTACAGGTACCACACACATCCCTGGCACAGCTCCTTGCCTTGGCACCACGGCCAGCAGGTTCCTGCCCACCTCGCTCCAGGGCTCCCTTCCCAGCCCCTTTGTTGGCTCTGGGGCTTGGAAGCCCAACCTTTGAGGGACACATCTGGCATCCAAGCTGCTCTAAAATGGCCATCTCCAACCCTCTCCACAATGCTGGGAATGCCTCTTTTTCAGGGTACCTAACACTGCCTCTGGGGCAGGCAGGGTCCCAGTGGGGGTGCTCTGAGGGGTGTGTCCCTGAGACATCTCTCTGCTGATCCACACCTAAAGCCTGACCTCCAAGGAGATGCTCTTGTCTAAAGCTCTTGCTTAATCCACACAATAATCAAGGGAAGAAGTTGGGCTTCCAGTCACTACCGTTGGAGAGACTGTCCCAGAATAATCCCCACTTCACTCTTTTCCAGTCAAAAGCCCACAGATATTTCCAGCTGCTGGCCCTGTCTGTGTTGCCCTGGGTGACTCCCTTGTTGCATCTATGTTGCTTGCCAATACTTGCATGCAGGTGCCTTTTCTCCTGGAATGCCTCAGTGCTGTCTCTGTTTCTCCTGGCTGTGGGTGACCCCTCAGAGGGCAGAGGGCCTGTGTGCCCTGGTTCATTTATTGCTGGCCCTCACATGGTTGTTACCACAGCTCTGTGTGCTGCCAGAGCTCCCTGATGCTGTGCAGATGCCCTGTGCCTGGGGGTTCCCCAGGTTCCCAAGTGCCCCTATCTCCTCCCTGGTCCCTGCTCCCATGATGTGTCTGCTTTCAAGCCCAGGAGGGAGGAAGGAGATTCCCAGCAGCAGGCCTGGTCTGTAACTTCCCTCTCCTGTGCCTTCTCTCCAGATGTTTAATGAAATTCATCACAGCGATGTCACCCTGGTGAACGGTGGCAAGATTGAATTCAACTGGGTGCTAAAGCCTAGCCCTGCAGACAAGCATCTGCCTGGCGTGTTTCTGGTCAACCCCACCACTGTAAGTAGCACAAGTGACTGAGCCCAGCCCTGTGTCAGGTGGCCCAGGAGAGTGTTAAAGGGAAAAAAGGGGGGGAGGTGGGGAAGGGGGAAAAAAGTCAGAAGGGAAAACCCCAAACCCAGCCATGAGAGAGACAGGGCTGTAAGCAATTTCTGCTGGGGCCAGAGAAGGTCAAACAAGTGCTCTCCTGACAGACTCCCCCACGGCCTTGGCTGGTGGGTGGCTCTGCTGTCAGAGGCAGACACCGGTGGGAGGCACAGGTGCGTGCGTCACTGTCCTGTCCTGCTGGAAGGGGAGCAGAGGAGAATTCTTTTTGATAGATTTCTCAGAGGAAAATAAGGCACAAACCCAGCAAGTAGTGTATCTGAAAACTGTTTGTTGATAAAAAAATGGCATGGTCCCAAACAGAGGGGGGACAGAAAAGAGAGAAAATGAGAAACAGAGAGAGTAACACAGGACAGGGACAGAGCGTCACCGCGAGAGCCCTGAGGCGCTGTGTCAGGTCCTGCTCGGCAGATGGAGCAAGTGCAGTTGTCCTAGTCCAGGTCATTTGTAACTTTTCAACACATTCAACAGGTTTCCATTCCTTCATTGGTTAAATGTTAATATTGCAACAACTCTTCACTAACATTGGTATCACAACATAACATTCTCATTAAAAGAACTCTAAACTTTAGCAAAACTTCTTTTACAAAAGTCATCATTATAAAACACATAGTATCTGCTCTAACAATTGTGAAAGCCAATACTGTAATATATTTATCATGAAGGTGATGTGGTTCTGATGGTTTCTTCTAGATGAGAACCTGTCTCCTCAGCCTGTCTGTCCCCTGAGCCATCCCTCATCAAACACTCTGATGCATTCCCTCCCTCTTCTCCCATCCCTGCAGGGTTCCCTTGCAGCTGGTGAGACGCAAGTGCTGAAATTCTCTTACATGCCAGGATTACCAGGAGCCTTCAGCAGGACTTATCAGCTTAAAGTGGGTGACCAGCAACCAGAAAATATCTGCCTGAAAGGAGAAGCATCCTTTCCCATGATCAGTCTGGACCTGCCCTGGAGCATCAGAGGTGGGCACTGCCTGTCTGCCCTCAGGAAAGGCCCCTCTGGTTTTGTTCCCTACCATAGGCCCTGAGGGCAGCTCATGCCAACCTCCACCGAGCCTGGAGGGTTGCAGGACTCCCAGACCAAGTCAAGCCCCCTGGTTGCTTCATGAGTCTTGAGCAGAGGATGCCATGTGGACTTTGTCCCAGGAGCCAACCTGCAGAGCCTGCCATCCTCATCCCTGAAGGACGATGGCTAGAGTGAAAGGCTTGGGAAAGCTGTAAGAGAGGCTGGCAGGGCTTCTGGCAGGGTTGGATCTGTGTGACATTGCAGGGGATGAGATTCAGAGAGGAACAGCAGCATCCACTTTCCATAGATGGCTTGAGGGATTTCTTTCTGGTAGAAACCAATGTTGGGAGGCAGGGACTTCCCAGCTTCAATGGGACTGGCACTTTGCTCACACTTCTCTTTGTGGATGTTTTCTTTCTTCAGGAAATGAAAAATATGAGAAGACACTGAAACGGCTCATAAAACGCCGGCAAATATACGATCCCAGCTATAAATCAGTTGTTCTGAAGAAGCCTCAGAGCCCAAAGATTGAGACCTTGAAGTCTCAGACCTTGAAGACTCAGAACCCAAAGAGTCAGGACCTGCAGCCCAGCGTGCTTGCCTCTGGCACTGTAGTAAGAACAGCTGCAGCCCCGTTTGGCACAGGCCACCCTCTCCATGTCACCTGAGCCCCTTGCAGCCCACAGCAGCTCCTGGTGCCCTGATGACACTTGGGACCTCCCTGCCCACTGACAACCTTGTGTCACCTCAGCATTGCCCCTAGGGCTGCCCCGCTGGTCATGTCTCTTCTGGGGCTGCACCAGCTTCCTGGCTAGCCCAGGGAGAGATCCTGAAGGCCATGCTCCAGGGATGGAGTTGATGGTGCTTTGAGAGAGATGCAGGTCATTGCTGGGGAGTTCATTGTTCCCAACCCAAGCCCTGCCAGATTTACAGCCCTTAACAGCAGCTGCCTGATTGTGCCCTGGGGCTGTGCTGGAGGTGCTCATCTCCAAGAGGCACTAGCTTGGTCCCAGTTCCCTTTCAAGACAGCTGCTGTCCAAGCTGCCTTGGTACAGGCTGGGGGCAGGCAAGTATCTGGAGCTCTGGAAGGTTCCTGGCTTGTCTGTCTGCCTGGCCAGATCAGCTTTGCTGACAGTGTCTGGGCAGGCAAAGATGCTGGAGTTACTTCCCTGGAGATGAGGTCCTGGCTAAGAGAGCAGGAGGTGTCACAGGCACTGAGCAGCCAGACAGGAGGACCCCACACCCCCTCCCAACCAGAGTGGGGTGGGATCCTTTCTCAGGTGCAAGCTGGGCTTTGGGAAGGACCTTTGCTAACCAGCCACTGTCTTCCCTTTCTTCAGTCAGACTCTCAGGTGCAGATAAAGATGATGAGGATGCTGGTAGAGAAACCTTTTGTAGAGCTGCAGCAAATTCTTCCGACCCATCCCCTGAAGAGCAGGTTCCCTGACAAGGAGCTGTGCCAGAGTCTTGCCAAGTGAGTAGGGACTCCCATCCCCATCTCCAGGTGCCCCTTGGGAACACCCAGCCATGTCCCCTTCTCCTGAGAGCTCCCTGTTTCTGCAGAGCTGGGAACAGCCTGGACTTCAGAAAGGGTCTGGTCCTGGTGGCTGTGACACGCTGCATGTGAGCAGTGGAGTGTCCTCCCTTCCCCAGCACCACGCTGAGCTTTGGACTGCTCAGCTCCCCACAGCTGTGGGGTTCTGTCCCTAGAGCTGGGGGACCCAGTGCAGACCTTCAGGCCCTTCCAGACAGCATAGATTCTGTCCCTGCTGCCTAGCTCTGAAGGAGACAACTCCCAGCTGAAGTCTTGCTTCCAACTAACAGCTGTGCAGCTGTGACACTGAACAAAAGGAGAAGGGAGCTGCACATGTCAGCAAACCCTTTAAAACCCAACATCAGATGGTTTGAATCCTGGTGGGGTGGCAGGGCAGGTGACATGGCCTGTCCCTTTGCACCATCATGATGCAGCACAAGCACGGGAGGCTTCAATTCAGGAAGAAGATGCTCTGCAGAGCAGCTCATGTGGTCTGGTTGCAGAGCAATGAAGATTTCCTGTGCAGGCAAACCTTATTCCTAGACCCCAAAGCAATTTCAGGCTCAGGCTGTACACCAGGCTAGGCAGTTCCACTGAGAGCAGTGGAGGCCCAGTGGACTCACCTAGACTGGCTTTTCATGGCAGACGAGCTGTGGCCAGTGTCCATTTTAAACTAATTTTATTTTCAGGTACCATTAGTAGCTGATCAAACCTAGGGCCTGCACTCCTCCTGACTTCCCAAAGTCATTGCCAGGTGGTCAGGCTAAGGGTTTCATGGGCTTGAGCTGAGTTTTTACAGCAGTGAATAAAGAAATAGCCACTGTATTTGTATCCTCCATCCACTTGGATGTGTAGCCAGGCTGTGGTTTAAGGACTGTCCTTATTCCTTGCAGAGCTGAGCTGCTCGAGTATGTCCTGGACATGGGCCCTGTCCTTAGGGGTTACACTGAGACACACTCTCTGAAGATCACCAACCCTGGGCAGATCCATGTGTCCTTCCAGGTCGATGTATCTGTCCTGCAGGACACAGGTAAGCAGTGCTGGAGACACTTCCTGTGGCCTTGAAGGAGGTGTCTCAGACAGATTAGCTTAAGCCCCTGAACCTGGGGAGGTTTCTGAGCTTTTTCTTCTCAGTGCCCCTGCTGGGAGCTTTAGAGGCAGAGCTCTCCTGGCCAGCCATGCCCAGGGACCTGGCCTGCCTGCAACTGCCCCAACACTTCAGTGCAGGGGCCAATGGACTCATCACCCTGGTCACCTCTCAGCATCTTCCCCCCTTGGCTCCCACGAGCAGCAAGTTTCTTTGGGCACTCTGTGGGCTTGTTTTGCCAACCAGTGGGGTCTGCTGTGTTTTGGAAGTGCTTTGTTTGGAGTTCACGCTGTCACAGCACTTGTATTCAGTCTTTATTGAGGAAGCAGCCTGTGAGATCCTCTGGTGGATCAAAAGAGGTTTCCAAAAGAGGCCTTGAGGCAAAGAGGCCTTGAGGCAAGGCTGCCCTTCCATCACACAGTGGCTCACTGTCTCTGAAGGGTGTTCAGATGCACTCTTAAGTTTTGTCCAGGTCACAGCACAGCGTGGGGCTTTTGCCAGACCTCTCAGCCAGAACACCTGTAAGGCCTTAACGTGCTTGTACACATTTTGTGTTTTGTGTGTATCTCAGCTGCTTTGTGTTCATCTGTTCAAGGTTTCAGCGTGGGCCTGGACCAGATGATTTGCCTGCCCCCCAACAACAGCGTGGACTTTGACGTGCGCTTTGAAAGTGCCAACAAGCCTTATGGTGACGTGGAAGTGCTGCTGCCCATAGAGGTACCACAGCTCTTGGGGCAGGCAGCAGGCTGGGCACAGCAGCAGATGTCACCCGCACCCTCTGCTGAATCCTCTGTCCTTCTCCAGGTGACAGAAGGCCCTATGTACAGCATCCGCATCCGTGCCACTGTGTCTGAAGTGTCACTCACCCTCACCAAGAACAGACTGCAGTTCTCTGACATCCTTGTTGGGCAGTGCCAGGTTGAGACCATCCGACTCTTCAACTGGTTCCGAGTACCCTGCAAATGGTTCATTGCTTCCAACAAGCCTGCTCTGAAGGTAAAGCACAGGCCACATTGAACACGGAACTTGGTCGGGTTTTCTTTGTGACTCTTGCTCTTTCTGCTCCTGTGGCTGCCTGAGCACTTGGGTCTACAGTGTGTTTGAGGAAAGTTCTGAGGGTCTAGATCAAGGCTGGTTTGCCTCAACCTGTTCCATTAGCTGATGCTTTGCTTTGCTGCCATCTTCACCCATTCCTCTTCCTCCTCTGAGGACAGTAGTTCCCTATCTGCTTGCCCTGTCTCCAGGGCTTCCCTCCTGCTGTAGGCTATGGGGCCACACTTGGTTTGGCTGTGGGTGCTCTCAGCTCCGTGTCAGTGTCTCAGAACACGAGGAGACCTCACATGATTGGTTTCTGTGCCCAGAAGAATCAACAGGAGCCCTGTCCCTTTGACGTGACGCCCTCCAAAGGAACCCTTGATCCAGGAAAGTGGCAGGATCTGCAAATCCAGTTTACACCCGAGGAGGAGGTGAGACTGGCGGGTGTCAGCCCAGGAGGCTGCCAGGGCTGTCTGGAAATGAGGGCCTGGTGCAGAGAGTGTGGTAGGAGCTCTGCCTTCACAGGGAGCTTTCTGCAAGCCCCATACTCTGCGTGGCTCAGTTCACCCCACAGAGCACTCGTGTGAGATGTGCTTTGAAATGCCCACAGGGAGCTTGCACAGAGAGCACCAGGGCTCTGAGGCTGCCTCTTGGCACATGGGGGGGATGTGCCCAACTCCCCTCAGCCTCCCCCTTGCCTGGCTGTATTTGCAGCTGTGACACTCAGTGCAGAGCAGCTGCCCACTCACAGAGGATAATCCTGGAATGGCTCATCCTGCTGCAGGACTGACAGACCAAACAGCCACCACCCACCTTCCTGGGCACAGCAGGACGGTCACCTGTAGTGGGGTGCTGCCAGCAGTCCCTGGGGCTCTGGCCTGCCTGCACATTCCTGTCCAGCTGGGGATTCAGCTTAAAGGACAAAGCATTCCCAAAAGTGGTTTGCCTGTGGCTGCTGGGTCTCGGAAACTGGCAGCGTGTACCAGCATGGCCACAAGTGCTTCTGTGCCCACACACAGTCCCAGGGATCTTTTAATTGCTCAAGAAATGTAACCATCTTGTGTCTGGCTTGGACCAGAGCCAGACACTAAGCAGAGAAGATGACCCTTATTTCTTGCCAGTGAGAGCTCATTTGCCTCTCTCGTGGAGCTGGTGTTTGCCTGATGCAGCAGTGCCAGGACTGTGTCTGGACACTGTAATCCTGAGGGCCCTTCCCATGAGCACTGCACTCCTGCATGACTAGGTGAAAATGTCTGACAGTCCATTGTACATACATCCATCTGATTCCCAAATACCCAGTTACAGTGCACACCAGCATTCATCCCAGTTACTCAGACCCAGACTACTACAGATGCTCTAGTCCCTAGCATAAGTAAATATCTGGTTTCCATTCACCTTGGAGGGACTGATAACACCCTGACCTTGGGGCAAGCCTTGTTGTATTTGGGGTCCTGTCACCTGGGACTTCATGGATGAGTTTTCTGCACTTTCCTCTTTTCAGAGGTCTTACGAGAATGAGCTGGAGTTTATAATTCGTGGGAGAAGCAGTCGCTTAAAGCTGCACCTCTCAGGACAAGGTCTGGAGCCACGGTTGGAGTTCAGACCCCCAGCACTAAAGATGGGATGGATGCTGGTGGACAGCGATGGGGTGGAGGCCACAGTGGTGGTGAAGAACCCATGCAACTTCCCCATTGAGTTTTACTCACTGGATTTTGATGAGCAGTACCTTGAGGAGGAGAAGGTGAGAAGGCAGGTCTGGTCCCCATGTACACGCTGCCCAAGCTTCACAGCACTCCAGCATTCCCAGGCTTGTGCCAGGGAGATGGAGGCAATCCCCAGGGCAAAGCCAGCTCTGCTGACATGCTGTGGGAGGACCTAAACTAAATAGTTGGTGTTATTGGGAGGAAGGGAGGAGACAGCAAATGGGTTGATTGAGTCTGTGTGATGAAAGGCAAGAAAAGGAATCTTGCATATAGCTTCTCTTCCCTCCACACACAGATCCTGCGGATGGCAGTGGGGTCTGAGTACCAAAAGAGCTTTTTTATGCCTCCACGTGCCATGGGTGAGACACTGCCTCCAGAGGTGCTGCAGGACCACGAAGCACACAGGAGGCCAAAGGCTCAACAGACAGAGCTCAAGCCCATGGCAGAAGCCAAGGCCAGGGCTGAGGTCAAGGCCATGGGCAAGGCAGCAGCAGGTCAGAAAAACAGTGAGGGTTTGGTGGTATCTGTTTTGCCTGTGGTCCAGCCCATACACCCTGAACTCTCTGTCACCTTGCTCTCCAGGGAAAGCCCATTCTTTTAGCAGCTGCCTGTTCCCCAGCTTGGTGGAGGAGCTCTTGGCTGAAGGGCTGTGGCATCCTCTACCAACCCTGAGTGTAGCCAAAGCAAGCTCCTATCTGCCTGCCATAGACTGGGGAAATAATCAGGATATTTCCTTGTGTCCCTTAGCCACAAAGACTAGGGCTGGATGAGTTCCTCAGCCAGTAGGACCAGGTCTAATATCACTGGCTCTTTTATATTTGCACCTTCCTAGCAACAAAAGAACAATCTCATCTTGCTTTCACCGAGTCTCCTTTCCTGGGATCTGAGGAGATGGGGAGGATGGTGAGGATCAAATGTAGGCAGGAGGCTGACTTTTCCCCCGGTTTTGCACTGTAGCATACCACAGGACCGTCCTACTCACTCCTGAGTCCCTGCTGAAAGAGACTGGGAATCCTGTCTCTCGGGCTGTCGTGCGCCACCTGGGCATTGCCCCGTCCTCCTGCGAAGCGCAGCCCCACCAAGGAGGGATGGTTGTCATCATCCATGGGCCACCCCGGGCAGGTACGTGAGCTGCAGCTCAGGGCTGCGGGGAGAGGGGCAAGCAGGAGGAGCACATCCTGGTGGGCCATGGTGCTTAAGGCAAAGTCCTCAGCTGAACAGGAGGTGGAGATGATCCTCTTGGCTCTAGAATTCAGAGCTTGTATCCACACTGCAGCTGCCTCCCTCATGGCCTCCCCTGGAGGGACACCTGCTTTCCCACTGTCCTTTTAACTTTGAAATCTTGTTGGAGGTTTTTCCAGGGCCTGTCCCTGCAATGCCTCCTGTGCCAGTGTCACCAAGCAGTCCTCCTCTCTCTCTCAGGAAAGACAGAGATAGCAGCAGGCCTGTGTCAGTATTACGACGCTGCTTACGTGTCCATTGACACTGTGGTGAAAGAGGCCATGGCCAAGGACGGGAGCCCAGCGGGGCTCCGTGCCCGGGAGCTCTGCACCCAGGCTGCCATGGAGCTGGAAGGCAAAGACGAAGGTGATGCTGGTAAGGAGACATGCTGGTAAGGACCCAGAGCCAGTGCTTGAGAAACCCACCACCACTGTCCACTTCTGCTTACTCAGAGCAGCAGTTTTTCAGTCCTTGGGTTTCTCTTAGGGAACATGGGTGAAGTGCATCATTGGCCTGCCCAAAAAAAATGAAATCAATTTTAAGGGCTCAGTAAAAGGTTCTTTTGTAGCCCCCTTTGCTGCCATTCTTGGCACGTGTTCAGTTTTCTAGGGCTACCAACTGCCCAGGAAGTTTCATAAAAGTCTCCAGTCTCACATGGAGAACAGCCCAATGAGCTGTGTAACCTGACAGTGGGCATAGGTAACTCTCTGGAGAAAAGAGCTCACCTAGGGGTGGTAAAGCATGCCTGTCTCTTTCCCAACTATTTTGTATTTCCTCAAAGCTGAATTGAGCCTTCTCCTTGTGGGGCAGCAGGCAGAACTGCTGCCCACCCGAGCAAGGAAAAAGCCTTCTGAAGTGACTCATTAAGCACAAGAGGACTGTGAGTGTAAACTCACAAATGAGAGGAAGGGAAGGTCAGCCTCCCAGAGGAATTTCCAATGAGAGACATGCTCCAGATGAGCTCTTTTTTCCAGAGAGTTACCTTTGCCCACTGTCAGGTTACACAGCTCGTTGGGCTGTTCTCCATGTGAGACTGGAGACATTTATGAACTTCCTGGGCAGTTGGTGCCCTGAGCACTGCAGGGTGAGGCCAGACCTGGCTCGGTGCAGGGGGAAGTTTTGCAGTGCTCAGTTTTGAACCTGGCTGGGCTGGGAGCTGGTGGAAGGAAGAAGAGTCTGGGTCCCAGCTGGGCTTTTCCCACAAGGAGGATTTAGCTTCAATGGAGATGGGTGATGCAAGTGAGGCAGGGCTGCAGGTCTCCACATGGGAATGCAGGATGGGTGCAGTGTATGGGAACAATGCTCCTGGAGGACAAATCTCTGGCTTGATCTGCAGGGGAACTGCTGTGTGAGCAGCATCACCTGCATGCACAGTTGTTAGGAGGGACGTAGTGCTGGCTTTAAAATCAAGTATGGGATGGTGTGCTTTACCATGCTGGTAAGAGAAGCAGGGAAGGAGCTGCTTCTGGGAAACAGTGCTGCCAGTGCTGCCATGTTCCTTCCCAAGGCTGTGCCCATTGCAGTCAAGGGTGCCTGCTTGCTTTACAAAGCCCCCCTAAACCATCTGTCCCCTGTACAGATAAAAAGTCTCAGACCAAGAATAAACGAGCCTCTGGGGAAAAAATCGACAAGAATGTCAAAGACAAGACCCCTCCAGCACAAAAGAAGGACTCAGCCAGCAAACTGGACAAAAAGGACATCAAGGTAAACATGATCTGCCCTGGTTGATGCCTGGGACCTTTGCATTGTCTTGGAGATGGGCAGGGGCTGCTTACAGTGGAGGCTCTGTGGGTCCATGTGCCATGACTTGGGCTGGGAATGTGCTCTGGCAGACAGCTCCTCTGGTTCTCAGTGCTTTGCTGGCAAAGTGCAGTCCTGGCTACTGTGGCTGCAGGCAGGGAGCAAAGTGCTGGGAGGCTGCACTGGGGCTTGCAAGCTCGGGTCTCTGCTGGCCAAGGGATGGGCTCTCCAGGACCATCCCCTGGAGGCCCCAGCCTGCACTGCTAGTCTGTTCTAGTCTCCACTAGTGAGGAACCCCAGCTCCAAGCCCAGCAGTGGGAGTTGTTCAGGGCTTTCCACCGTGGTTTCTTTTCCTTACAATGGTTCCCATTGCAGTTCACAGTTTCCACTGCTCCTGCACCCCAGCAGCTGAACATCATCAGCAGCCGTGGAGAAGAGCTGAACTGCTTGAGCTGTGTGCTGCCCGAGGAGCTGCTGGTGGACATCCTCAGTGAGAGGCTGAAGGTGTGTGGGGTGGGGGAAAAGGAGACATTCCTGCTCTGCAGAGACAGGCACTGAACAACAGACTCAGAGAGGAGGAGGAGGTCTGTACAGGCTGCTGGAGGATCCTGGACTGTGTGCAGGGAACCCTGGGGGAAGCTGCAGCTGCCCTTAGCTGGCAGAGCCTAAGGACAGGTCCCAGCTGCTCTTAGCTACTGCACTTGGAACAAGGATAGCTGGTGCCCTGGGACATCTGGGCTTACTGTCCAGCTGCGAGCCCCCTGCGTGCAATGGCTGACTTACTCTTCCCTTTATCCACAGTGTAAAGACTGCTCCAAGGGAGTGATCTTTGATGGCTTGGAGAGCCTCTTTACAAGCAGCCTGGAGTCTTCTCTACTCTGTGTACTCAAAGCTGTCAAGAATCGTTGTCATATCTTCATGGTGAACCTGCATGAGGATTATGCTTCTTGGAAAGCCAGGGAGGAATCTGAAAGAAAGAGGAGGGAAGCTGAAACAGAGAAGAAAGGTGAGATATCTCCATCCCTCTCAAATCTTTTCTCTCAAGCCCTCAACTTTATCTCTGTGTACCTGGGTTTGCAGCAGAGCTTGTAAGAAATGTTTTTATTAATCTTCCCACCTTCTGCCTCAGTGTAACCAGCACTCATCTCAGAGTTGCAGGAGATCTGAGGTTTTAAGACTCACCTTAATCTCTAACATTAAAGCTTGAGCACAAGTGCCAGCTGCTGTAGCTCAGTGACAAACAACTGTCCTCAGCCTTGGTGCACTAAAGTCAGGCAAAGCACAGGACCTCACTGCCCTGCCATAGCTTGGGAGATTGAATTCTGGAGAAGGGCTATGTGCTCCCCAATATCTCCTGGGATGATAGGCTGGGTCAGGAAAAGCTGTGAATCCTTGCAGCTGGCACAGAGCACCCAGGTCAGCTTGCAGTCACTCATGGTTTCTCCTCTGGTTTGTGCTAAAGATCTGCAATGGGAAAAAACTCTGCAGAAGAAAGCAGAATGTATCTTGCAAATAGATGAGGATGACTATTATGCCCTCCCTAAGGAGAAGAAAGCAGAAGTGGATAAAATAATACTGGAAAGGAAGCGCATACGGAGGAAAAAGTGAGTAAGGCTTCCATGGGTTACTGCTGTTCCATGGGTTATTGTCCCTGGAGGGCAATTCCCTGCTCCAAGGACTCTGAGCTCAGAGGTGCTGGATAGCAAAGGCCAGAAGCAGCACAGGGATGGCCATTCTGAGCTCCCTGGCTCCCAAGAGAGGAAGGACCTTCTTCTGTTGAGACAGAAGATCTTCTTCTCTATTGGAGTGCTGAGCCCTCCTGGCTTAGATGCTGCCTGCAGGGAGCTGGGCTCTGGGCTTGCCTTGGCACTGCCTCTAGAGGTGTCTTTAGGTCCATGGTGTTGAGTTGCACCTTCTTGATCATCTCCCTTCACCAAAACAGTGGGATTGTGCTATGGGCAGGTGTGGGGCACAGAGCAAAGCTTGGTTTGGGTCCTGCTCCTGCTCCTGATCTGCCAGGCTTCTCCTTATGGTGGGACACCACCCACAGAAGCTCACGTCCTTTAGGCTCCCCTTCAGCTGCAGCAGTAGGCCAGCCCAGGAGAAGCTCAGCTCCAGCAAGGCAGCCCAGCTCAGGACACACAGGCAAAGTGTGGAGCTGAGAGTGGAGGCTGGTTAAAGCAAGTTTGTGTATCAGGACTTCCTTCAGCCCAGGCTGAAGTTGGTTTCATGGGGAGGAGACAGATGAGGCTGTTTCAGATGGCTTTCATGGCAGAGAGCACCGGTTTGCTTGCTCACAGCTGGGTTCCTGCAGGAAATCTGGCTGACAAGAGCCTGTCTTGCAGGAGAGGAGTTCCTGCAGCCTTTGCTTTCTGACTGATAGGATTATTCTCATTAAGGAGCAGGCTGTGCCCTGAGGGGTGCTGAATGAGCTGAGTGAGAATTGTAGGAGAGATAAGCAGATGTCAGCAATCTGTGATCTGCTTTAAACTGGGAAATCAAGAGACAAAGAGCATTTTCAGGCATCAGCACAGAGAGCTGCTGGATCAGCCTTTGGCAGTGGGCTGGAGGTGTCTGGCTGTGCCTTAAGAGGGAGCTTGCACAGCCAAGACCTTATGATGGCAAGGTTCAGGTTTGGCTGGTCCTGGAGGTCCCCTTCCACCAATGCCCTCACTTGGGATGTTCCCAACCTCTGTGGGTTGAGAAAAATTCACGGAAATGGTCTCGTGGCTCTGCCTGGCCTCAGGGTCAAGGAATGAAGTGCAGGGCCGGCCAGGACTGCTGAGCCCAAGTTTCTGGTGGGGACTCTCAGCGATTTTTTCTGTTTTGTTTGCTGAAGGGAGCTGAAGCGGCTGGCTCAAAAGCGTGAGGAAGAGGCAAAAGCCTTAGAGGAGGAAGAGAGGCGGAAGGAGGAAGAAAGGCGGAAGGAGGAAGAGAAGCGGAAGAAGGACAAGAAGGGTGTCTCTGTGGGGAAGCAACCTCCAAAACCAGAGAAGGGGAAAACCAAACCCCCAGAGAAGAAGGAAACCAAACCCCCAGAGAAAAAAACTAAGACTCCAGAGAAGGAAACCAAAATCCCAGAGAAGGAAACCAAACCCTCAGAGAAGGAGGAAACCAAAGCCCCAGAAAAGAAGGAGGAAACCAAAGCCCCAGAAAAGAAGGAGGAAACCAAACCCTCAGAGAAGAAGGAAACCAAAATCCCGGAGAAGGAAACCAAACCCTCAGAGAAGAAGGAAACCAAAGCCCCAGAAAAGAAGGAAACCAAAATCCCAGAGAAGGAAACCAAACCCTCAGAGAAGAAGGAAACCAAAATCCCAGAGAAGGAAACCAAACCCTCAGAGAAGAAGGAAACCAAAACCCCAGAAAAGAAGAAAACCAAAATCCCAGAAAAGAAGAAAACCAAAGCCCCAGAGAAGAAGGAATCCAAAATCCCAGAAAAGAAGGAAACCAAAGCCCCAGAGAAGAAGGAAGCCAAAATCCCAGAAAAGAAGGAAACCAAAGCCCCAGAGAAGAAGGAAACCAAAATCCCAGAAAAGGAAACCAAACCCCCACAGAAGAAAGAAACCAAAGTCCTAGAGATTAAGAGAACCAAAATCCCAGAGAAGTGGAAATACAAAGCCCCAAAGATGTGCGAAATCATAATCCCAGAAAAGGAGGAACCCAAAGCCCCGAAGAAGGGGGGAACCGAAATCCCAGAGGACCCAGCTGAGATGGAGAACTTGATCCTGAGGTTTCAGATCTATGATTCATCGCAGCAGAATGTTGCACAGGTTTTCTCCTGCTGGGACAGGGTTCAGGGTACCATGCAGGGTACCATTCAGGGTACCATGCATGGATCTGTGATCCAAAAGGGAAAGTCTTCAGCTGAAAACAAAGGTCAGAAAACCAATAAGCCTGTGGAGAAGAAGCCTGAACAAAAAAGTGGAGACCAAAGGAGTCTTCAGTCATCTCAGCTGGGGACACAAAGTGAAGCTGCCGAAGGAGCAGTCGGAGACGAGCACATTGGGGTGCCGTGCTTGGACATTGAGGTCTCAGATCCAAAGGCCATGATTGGGGAGATCCTGAGGGATGGGAAGCTGCCAACGGAAGAACAGGTAAAACCCTGCAAGGCTCAGATCTTGAGCTTGCTGTGGTCTTGGGCCCTGGAGCATTGTGTCCCCCCAGGTGATAATGGCACAGAGCTACATCCAGGTCCCTGATGTTGTTCCACAAAGACTCTATCATCCATGTGGAGGGGGAGGTTATCACCATCCCTCAGATGAGCAGGAAGTGGGAGGGCTCTGTGCACAAGTATCCCATCTGTTCAGAGTTTCCCAGCCTGGAAATCATAAACCGTCCCAGGACATGGCCATTGTTTTCTTCAGCTGAGTCACTTGGGAGAGGTTTCTCTCCCAGTCCTGTTTGTAGCTCTTGTGTCTGCTCTGGACCCTGCTCACCCCACTGGACATAACAAAGCACTTGTACTTCATGTAAATTAAAAACCTCATTGCCAAAAGCTCAGTGCCTTCAAAGAAGGAGTTGTGAGGATGAAGGTGACAGAAGTATAAACAGGATTTTCTCTTCTGTTTTAGCTGCTGAAACATCTGGGACTGCATCCTGACGGCCCTCCCCTTCCCCCTGCTGCTGTGCTCTCCATAGTCGAGTACCCAGAGGAGAGGCTGGGCTCTGCAGAGCGTGTGGAGCCCTTCACCATTGTGGCACCAGAAGGTGCTGCTATGGAAGAGGATCTGGTGGGTGCTCCAGTGGTGCTGGCACTGAAGGTGCCGGGGCAGGGACCAGTCTAGACAGGGACAGGCGGGACAGGAAAAGGGAACATTGTGGAGAGGTAGTGAAGATGTGATGGGGTCCCATGTCTGCAGGTCTCCTTTCTGTCAGGGATGGGACAAAAGAGACAGTTCTGCTGGAGACAGAGCAGTTCTGTAAGACAAGAGGGGAAAACAGCACTTAAAACCATGAACTTCCTTTGAGGAGAGGGTCCTGAGTGAGCAGGGGTGTCCTAGGTGAAACAAACACCAATAAGGAAGACCAAGTCCATGGGCAGGTGGACTTACTTATTTTTTCTCTCTTCTGTTGGTGAACAAACCCCCATTTTGCTTTCCAGAATGGGGATGTCTCAGGGCTCACCTCTCCCTCCCTCTTCTCTCTCCCCTTAGGCCAAGGCCCCAGATGTGAAGGGCAGTTCTGCCAAGGGCCATCCAAAGACAGGTAAAGCAACCAGCAGAGACAGCTCTGCAAAGGAGAAGCATATCTCCACACAGAGATCAGAAAGTCCCCAGGATTCCTCTGCAACAAGATCCAAAAGTACAGTGGGAAGTGCCTCAGTCCCCACAGAATTCCTCAGGTGAGCTGAGGAGGTGGTGGTGATGCCTCTGCTTCTCGGTCCTCTTGCCAAACAAGGTCCATCGTCCCCAGCTCCACAGTGACCCCGTGCCAGTGCTGGGGGATGGCGAGTGCACCCTCCTTGTTCTGTTTGCTCCTCAGCAATGTCTGAAGCCTCCTCTTTAATTGCCAGGCTGAAACGGTACCGGTGGATAGTGCCTGCCCACGGTGAGGTGGAACTGAAGGTCCACTTCTCTGCCAAAAAGCCAGGGAAGTTTGAGCAGACACTGAGGTTTGAGCTCGTGCAGTCAAAGCGCCAGTACGAGCTGCCCTGCCGTGGCACCGGCCTCTACCCCAGCATCAGCCAGAACCCTCGGTAAGGCTGGGCCCTGGCAGCCTCCCACAGCACAGCTGCCCCTGAACTCACAGCCAGGGCTGCCCCTTGGGGCTTCTGGCCTGGGCAGATGATGCTCCCTGGGGTCGCACAGCATCTCTTCCTGTGCTGGGAGCTGGGAAGGCAGATGGTACCTCAACCACCAGGAAGGGTTATGGCTTTCTGACTACATTTCCTGCTTGGAGCATCTCATAGCTCCTCCTTCTCCACTTTCTCTGCCCAGGGTGGTGTTTCCACAGTGCAGGAAAACCATGAAGGAAGATGAAGTCATCTTCAAGGAATACGTTGAGAGCACAAAGCAATTCCACTTTGGACCGCTGCTGTGTGGGAAATCAAGAGAGTGGTATGTGCTCCCTGCTGGGCCTTGTCCTTTTCTGGACATGCCTGGAGAGACATGCTGTCCTGGTGGCACAATCCAGGGCAGTCCCCAGCAGAGTCCTGGGTTTGAAGGACCAAAGACACGTGGGTTTGAAGACACATGGGTTTAAAGGACCACAGATGTGTGAACTTGAGCAGATAAGAGGCAAATAAGCCTTGGAGGAGCTGCTCTGCCTACCCAGTGGGTGCCTTGGTGGCCACCTTGGTGGCCAGAGCCGTGTGCTGCTGCCAGTCCAAAGGTGACTTGGGGGCAACTTTTGTGTCCCCCTCCACATGTCAGCTTCAACCCACAGGAAATGAACTTTATGGTGGGTTTTGAAGTGCTTTGAGCTCTGCAGGTAGCCTGATCTAGCAATTATTCTGTAGATGGTTTTGTAAACCTTTCATTAATCTGTAATTATTAATAAGATTTTGTGGTTGACCTGCCAATGGGCGTCAAGGGGAACATACAGCAGGAATTACATTTTCCTGTAACGACATTGCATGCTCACTGCTGGATAAAATCTGCATAAACACATTGTCATTGAAGCTATTGTGTACTTCTACTTTTACTGTCACTTAAAAAAAATTAACATTAAGTTCTTATTTCCATGGGAGCTCTGGAGGGCTAGGTCTGTTTTGACAGCCCAAGGAAATGAAACTGAAATACATACAATCTTTAGCCAGGTTGATGGATGGTCTGGGATCTCTGTTTGCCTCTTTAATCCTTTCTCCAAACTCCTCTCTCTAACTTTCACTCCAAAGTCATTTCCACACCTGAGAGAAGGGTCATTTGTTATCTTTTTGCATTCCTCTTAGGAATTGATGCTTTATGTTTCTTTCTCAGACTCTGAGCTAACCCATGAAATCCAAAGCACTTTCATGACTTTTCATAAATGAGATTAGCTAAACTCTTTTTCCAAAACCCTTTCCTTATACCCTGCAGGGAAGGCATCTCAAGAAAGAAGGGGAAAGAACCCATGTGTCTGGTGTACTTTTATTTTTCTAGGCACCCTTGAATTAATGTTGTGTTAAAAACTCTTGAAGTGGCTTGAGCATCATCAGGCTTCTGGGCTGGAGGCACCAAGTCCAGGGGAAGGCATCAGAGTAAGGCAGGGATGAGCACACGCCCATGGCCCTGACTGGGATCCATTTCCCTCACTTGTTTGTTAGAGCAGGGTCTCCCAGCATCACTTCCTCGGGTGCACACGGTGCTCTCCGCGGTGTGTGGCAAAGGCAACAGTCTCCTCTGGAGGAGACTGTTGTGGACAGTCCCCTTTTGTGGACAGGTACAAGACCCAGAACGGTCCCAGAAACACGGAGAAGCTAACCATCCTCAACATCTCCCCCATGGTCGTAGAGGTCCAGTTCTCTTTTGAGAAAGATCGGAAAACAAGGACCTTTGTTGTGGACCCTCGCCGCATGACCCTGAAACCAAAGGAGAAGCGGGTAGGAGAAGGGCAAGTAGAGCAGGCACTGTAGAAGTGCCCAGGGGCTGCTCCTCCTGCTCACACTCAGTGCTCCTTTGATTTCTTCCTGTGGGGCCATGTCCAGGAGCTGACCATTTGGGCATACCCCACCTCCCTTGGCTTCCTGGAAGACAAACTCATCTGCAGCATTGAGAAGAACCCGGAGCCAGTGGTCTTCAGCCTGTGCTGCCATGGGGTGCATGTGAAGCTGGAGGTCAGCCCCTCGGAGCTCTCTTTTGACAAGCTGCTTTTGCATAGGTCAGTCATCCCACAAGCACTCCAAGACTGGTGACAAAGAGAAAACATTTGACTCTGGTTTCTGGGGCATGGATGGAGCTGCTCCAAGTTGCATTCAGTGGTGAGGCTGGTGTGACCATCCAGCAGCTGATGCCAAGTGCCTTCCTCTCTCTGCAGGACTGACAGCAGGACCTTGGTCCTGAAAAACAACAGCCTGCTGCCCATGGCCTGGCAGCTCAATGGGCTGGATTACCTTGCTGAGAACTTCTCCTTGTCACAAGATAATGGCATCCTTGATCCCTGCTCAGAGTTTGAAGTGACACTGCATTTCAAGGCTGAGCAGATTGGCATAATTGAGAAGATCCTCCGACTAGAGGTGAGAGGAACTGTGCTCTGCCTGGCAGGGCAGGGCACAGTGAGCAGCCATGTGCTCCTAGGGACAGAGTCAGGAAGAGCTGCACCTGAGAGAGACAAGGGTGCTGTGACCCCAGCTTCTGCCTCTGCACAGTATTTGCCAGAACATGCAGTGCATCCACATCCCCCCAGATAAGCAGACACTGCATCCTGAGCCTGTGCCACAACCACCTTGTCCCTTTGAATGGTTGAAGGTTGTTGTTTGGTGGTACAGACTGTAGCGTGATCTCTAGATTCCTCCTGGACTTTGTCTGAAGCTCTTGCACAGTGCAACAAACTCTCCCCCTGGGATTTTGTTCCCCATGGTTTAGGGGCTGCATTTCAGACAGGGTGCTAGGTGATTGGAGAGGGTTGTCAATGCCACCTGCTCTGAGACACCTCACATTTCTTGTGGTTGTTCTTACACCCCTGTGCCTCTCAAGGATGCTTTAGCAGCAGCATTCCCTGCTGTAGGAATGCAGAGTTGGGCTGATAGGGTTTTTTACTGCAGCAGAATCCCACTGGGGCAGCCCATGAGAGGAACAGGTTAGCAAAGCTTGGGAGTCCGCCAACACTTGTGAAGCCAGGGAGGCCATAGGGGAAGCAGCCAGCAGAGACAAGGACTTTTCAAAAGAATAACCTGAACAGTGTTTGTTTCTTGCTGCCTCAGGTTTCAGATACAGAAAACGCCCTGGGGGTTGTCCACACTGAAAATATCGAAATCTCTGCAGAGGTCTATGATGTTTCTCTGACCATTGACTTCATACCTGAAGGTCAGTGAATGCCTCCCAAACAAAGCAGTCCAGGTGCACTGCATTACCTTGGGAGGTGGGCAACCAAAGCAATGGGATGGGATGGGATGGGATGGGATGGGATGGGATGGGATGGGATGGGATGGAATACAAGGATGGCATGGATACATAAAGCATGTACCCTGCAACCTGCATGAAATAAAGCATTGTCAGGTCTCTGACAGCCTTAAGTCTCTCCCCTCTGAACTTTGAAGTGTGCAGCTTGATGTGCAGATTGGATTTCACAACAGGCAGTTGGCAACTCCCACAGGCTCAGCACAGCATATAAAGTAATTGGATTTGTGCTTGGGAGCGAGGAAATGGAAGGCGAGCTCTTTAGCTACTAAGCCTGCAGATATTTTGAGTGTGAAGAGAAAGGGCAGACAAGTAGCTGGAAAACCCTTTCAGGAACAGAAACTTGCTGGAAAGGGGTTTGCACCAAGACCTCCATGTAGCTTGTGGCCTGTTGTATTCTGCAGCAGCTCACAAATACTGTGTTTGACCTCACTGTGGGTTTTCTGCAGGTCCAGAAGGAAGCTTGGACTTTGGAACCATTAATGTCATGGATAACGTGAAGAAAATCCTATGTCTAAAGAACAAAGGGGTATACAACATTGAGTACAGGTGAGTCCTGCTGCCTGGTAGTGAGTATTTCCTTGGGTTCCCAGGCCTGCATGCTATGTCAATGGCTAGAACCATTTCCATGCCGGCTACCTCATGGTAAATACAAAACCTGGGCTCTCTAATCTCAATTATTCTACAAGAGAATCCAGCCGCAAACCAGCAGTTCTTCACAGCTCAGCAGGAACCCAAAGGAGAGCCCCAGAAATTTCAGCCACTGAAATGCTGAGATTCATTGCCTTTCTTTGATGGTCACCTCCTTTCTCTTTCTGAGACTCTGTAAGGAAGTGAATGAAAAATGGTGGTGTCAAGGTTTCTTGCAGTAACCTCATGATTGTCTGAATTCTCTGTCAAGATCCAGATTCCCTGACAGAGCTGAACTCTCCCTTTTTTTTTCTGGTCCTATGCAAAGTCCTGGCTGTGCTGGTGGCACCTGTACTTTTAACTGCAGAGATCTCCATTCCTTCCCTTTCTCCCCAGGTTCACGCTGAAGGGTACAGGTCCCAGGATGCGAGACGTGGCATCCCACTTCACTGTTGTGCCTCAGTCGGGCGTGCTGATTGCCTCCCAGCCTGCTGTGAATGTTGAGATGCTCTTCCACCCCACAAATGAAATGCTCCTCAAGAACAGACCCATCCTGTACTGCCAGGTGAGCTGCCTGGGCCAGGCTGTGTTATCACACGGTGTTTTGGGAGTATAAACAGGATAGATGTCTAACGGAAGGAGGGCTTTAACTGGAGAATCCTCTCTCCTACACACACAAAGTCTTTCAACGCTATTTGGGAGGCTTCCTAAGTGGAGCTGAGAATCTGACTCTGGAGGAGGTGCTTAAACAGGGAGGGGTAAACTGGAGGCCTGGGGAGGGAGGCTGGGGCCTGGGGTAGAGGCTGGCCTCTTTGCTTTGTTTACCAGCCCTTCCTGTGGACACAGGTGATAGATGCCAGATCAGGTCGAGGAGGCCAGGCTGTCGCCGACATCCCACTGAAGGTGTCGGCCAAAGCCGTGTACAGCAAGTACAGCATTGAGCCTGCCTCACCCATCAACTTTGGAGCCATGATCAAGGGCACCAAGAAGAGCCAGACTGTGGTGCTGGAGAACAAAGGCATGCTCCACTTCAAATTCTGCATCCGCCAACCACCCGAGGATGCGTCTACATCGGAAAGCAAAAGGTACGAGAGGCCCTGACCACCCTTCCTGTCTGAGGAGGCACCACCCCACAGCTGGTATGTGGCAGGCAGCCAGGAGACCTGGGCTGTTGTGCATTTGCATCCCTGGCTTGGGGAGAGGGAGCAAAAAAAGGCCTGGGTATCCACATGTGTAGTATGAAGCTGGTGATAGAGCTGCTCAGTCCAGCAGGTGCTCTCAATGGGTGCTGCTGGCTGCTCTCTGGGAGCCATCAGGAGCACAAGACTTTCCTCTGTGAGGAGGAAGGCCAGCTTTGGCCTCAGAGAAAGGCAGGGGAGCTCAGATGACAGATACCTCTGCTTTCTCCTCTCAGTTCAAAGGAAGGGGAATCTGCTCCACTGGCTATGAGGCTCTCAACAGCAAGGAAATCAAGCTCCTTGACACAGGTGGGTGACTCCTGCTCCCCAGAAGTGCTGCTGCAGGGGATGTGAGAAGATGCTGCTGTGCCCAGGCTGGGGCTCATCGCCACAGGGTGGGATGTGGTCTGCAAGACCAGTATCTGCTCAATCCCACTGACAGTCCTGTACTCTGGCTCTGACCTGGAGTTGTGGGGTCAACAGAGGGGAGCAAGTCCTGTGTTTGGTAGCTGCAAGCCAGCATAGGTCTATGAACACCTCAGAAGCAAAAACATCCCCCACTGAACTCCCAGTCTACAGAGCTCAGACAACATTGCTTTTTCTTCTTTGCAGTCCCCGAGCTCTCTCCCATCATTTCTCACAGGTATTTCTGTCTTTCTCAGAGGCATTTCTGCTCTCCTCTGTTACCTCTGGAGATTGAGGGATCACAGCTACCACCTTAATTCTTTACACTCAAATTCCTTTCTCTCTGCCCCCTGGGACAGATTTGTAGCTCTTCTTGGCTTGTTGCTCTCAGCCTGGGGCTGCCTTTGGGCCATGGAGTCATCCTTCCCTGCCCTGGGACTGGGTGCTTGGGCCCAGCTGGAGGCCAGGGCAGGACGTACTCTTTGCTGGGCTGCTCAAGGCACAGCTATTAGCCATCAGCCTCTCCTGGAACTTTTTCTGCAGAGTCACCTCAGTCTTGGCATGTTCACGGTGTCCCCCTGCTCCGGCTCCATCGGTCCGTGGGGCCAGCAGAAGATCACAGTGGAATGCTTCGCAGGGCAGGAGGGGAAATGTGAGGAGCAGCTCTACATTGACATCCCGGGCAGAGACCCCAAGGAAAATCCCCTCGGCGTTCCCTTCACCCTGATTGCCGAGTCCTGCCTCCCAGGTACACACTGCCCACAGTGCCCTTGGTCACACCTGCTGCCGATCAGCACCTCAACTTGCTGCTGGGATAGAGAGGCACACTAGCCCTGGTGTCCCACCTTAAAATCCTCAGAGGTTCCAGCCCTCTTCAAGTCCACCAGTGGACTCATCCCTCCCAGGCTGAGAGGGATGCTTGGAAGCATAAAAGGAAAGCAATGCTCTCTAAGACTGAGATTGACTGAGCTCCATCCTCACAGCCAGTTCCTCCACCCAAGGCTGGGTTTAGCAGTCACCCGGGCAGAAAGGGCTTATCAAGCCTTCTGAGTGGCCAGCAGGGTCCAGATAAACTCATCAGGGAGGCTTCTCCGTGCTCATCCCTCTGGTGTGTCCACAGGACTTGCTGAGGATGTGATGTTAATCTTCGAGGAGTACCCGATCTGCAGCAGCACCGACCTCGACCGCAAGCTGCAGTCAGTGAAAGGCACGGGCCTGTTCATCAGAGATGAGAACAGGTTCATCTTCAACAAGATTCTGGTTGGCCAACAGGCAGAAGCTCATTTTAGTATCTACAGTGCAAGCAGCCTGCCATGTGATGTGGTCCTCTCCATCAAACCTCTGCCTGGAGAGGTAAGAACAGGAGCCAAGATGGTGATTGCCCTCTAAGGGCTGGGTTAGAGCCTGTTTTGTTCTCCAGATGCGTTGCTTCCTGTGGCCCAGACTAGTCTTCATCAGTGCAGGTCAAACTGCAGGGGAGAGCAGCAGAGCCAGGGAACAGTTGTGTGGAATTCTGCATGTCTTGGGCAAGGTTTTGGCTCACACCTCTGGGTCTTTGGTAGGAGAAGTGAATCCTTCTGAACCTCTCCTGGAAGCACACACAGAGAGGGGCTGTTATGAACTGACATGCCAGGGCTCAAAGCAGAGCATTTCCTCAGGCTTCCTGGCCTTTCCTTCTCTTTGAAGGCCAGTTCTGGGTTATTTGCAGGATCTTCCATGCAGTGCCCATCTCCCATGTAGGCTGGGGAAGGTTCCTGCACTCAAACACACAATGCTTTAGCACAAGGTCAGCATTCCCTGAGGAATGGGAGGATGGGAGCCTGCCCAGGGAAGGAGGAAGGAAGACACAATGTCTGGGGCTGTTCTCAGTAATGCATTTATGAATAAAACTGTGTCATGTTGAAAGGTGTTTTCTCCTAACACTGCTCTCTGGATTCCCCCAAGGAACAAATCCCTATCAACAACATTTTCAAGTTGGATCCAGTCAAGATGTCCATTCCTGGCTCATCCTCTGCTGTTGCTACAGTGACCTTCACCCCGCCGGATGAGCAGAACTACAACTGCACTTTCAAGGCTTCCCTTGTCATCCCAAAAAGGTAACTGACCCTGTGAAATATTGGGGAGGCCTCACTGATAGCTGCCTCTCCCCTGGGAAGGCACAGACCTCTTGTTAGCTCTAATGCTTTCAGTAGCCTCAGGCAGAGTACTTGGCATGAGATGATCTGGGAGGCAGTAACTCTTAGATAGAGCAGAAAAATGAGGCTGATGGTTTAGCCTGTCTGAAGAACTAAGAAGACAGGCAAATATTAGGTAGCCAACTGGAAGTTACTGAGATGTGCTGCAGCTGAGCTGGGGGTTTCTAAGGACAAAGGCTTGGATGAAGCAGTTTCTGTACCAGCAAGTCAGCAGTCACAGTTTCTTCTTTGTTTCTGTAAAATTAGGTGATCCTCTGTGATTCCCTGGCATTCATTAAACTGTTTTATGTGAGTGATTGGAGCTGGTATGAAAGAAGAGTCTGGTTCCTCTGCCCTGGGACCTGTGTGCTGGGGCTTTGGCCTGCTCTTCCTCAACCCTTTAGTGGCTGAATTGGAACAAGACAAGTCTAATTGCTAATAAGCAATTGCTTTTTTACTGTTCATGGAAATGATCTTTACTGATGGTGATGATGATGTGTTTTTGCCTTCTTGCTTTTGTACTGCTTTCATGCTGTGCTTTTGCTTGTTGCATAAGTTCATCTCACTGCAGCCAGGGGATTTGCCATGTCTCATCTGGTGCCTCATTATTTACCTGTTGTACTGCATGATTCAATTAAGTAAAATAATTTTTAACTGTTATTGTGGAAGGCTCTGGCTCTTTGGAGCAGATTCCTCTAGCGAATGGCCCTGAGTGGATTGGGAAGAGGCTGGTGGGGGGCTGTGTTGTGGGGTACAGGAGCACCAGGCAGGGAAAACACTGTGGCCCTTGCTGCTTTGCCTGCCTAGTGAGAAATGGGTTAGTGCCAGCTGAAATTGTTTCTGTGCCTCTCCTGCAGCCCTGTGAAAATTAAACCCCAAACCGTGACCTTCACCATCAGTGGGAAGGCGCACGAGGCACAGCTGACAGTCGTGTGCCCCAGTGCTCGCAGCAAGAGGGGAACGGCCGTGCTGCGCTTCAAGAGGCTCCGGGTGGGGAGATCCGAGAAGCTGCCCCTGGTCGTCCGGAACGATGGCATCATACCTCTCAAGGTGAGGAGGACCTGCTCAAGGAATGGTCTGGTTTGGGAACAAGCGCTTATGGCACAGGGGAAGGGTCCCAAAAAGCATGGCAGACCTGGGAAGAGGTGTCAGAAATTCTTTTTAAGCAAGTGACTGACATCTGTTCTCCAAGAAGGGAATTCTTGGAAATTTTCCATCCAGTCTTTCTTCTTTAAGTTGAACACAAGAAAGGTGGTGGAGTATTTTCCCCCCTGTCTCTCAGGTCACCTTTTGTTCTCATGGACATGTGTGATTTTCCAGTTCCATTAGATTGTATTTGATCCCAGTTTACTACATTTTAAGTAGACTTAGATGTAGTTTAATTACATTCTGCTCATTACTTTCTGTCCTGTTTGGTTCTGTGTCAGTTCTACCCAGATGTTTCTCAACGCCCTTTTTCTTGTCTGGTTTGACTTAACTTTTGTGCTAAGTGCTGTTAGTAGTGGGAGAGGTGCTGGGCTGCCATGTGGGACCAGCAGCACTGTGGTGTCAGTCCCTGTGCCACCCTGTACTCACACCAGCATCACTGTGCTCTGGTTTCCCTTTTCTCAGTTTATGTTACGCCTGGAGCACGAGTACGGAGCGTTCTTCTTGAAGGGCAGGGCCTCCACACTCGAGGTATTCCACACTGAAGATGAGGACTCCGTCGGAAATGGTAAATTCATTAACCATAAAATGTGATCATGCTAAGAGGGAAAACTCAGCCAAGCCTGCTCTTGGCTTCTCCGAGCAGCAGCCAGATGTTAGGCACAGTTTTGTTCCTTGGGCTCTCTGTCCCCCAAGCTTTTCTTGGCGCCTTTTTGCAGGGTTTCTTCCTAGCAAGTTGTAGGAAGTTCCTCTGTTCTAGACGTGGGGGGTTGAGTTGTGGGGGACTGTCACTACCACAGTGGACCCTCTGAGATATTTGCTGCATGTGGGAAGGTATCGACCTGAACAGACACAGCCCTTGAGCACACAGACAGCCAGCAGAAGCCAAAAGCACTCTTTGGCTCAGCTTTGCATATGTCTGGAGCTGGCTGGAAGCAGATGGAATGAGGGCTGGGCATCAGTCTGAGGTTAAGCTGCTTCAGTGGTGATGTGTCTGGAGGTGGCATAGGCACAAGGTGTCTTGTGAGCATAGGAAGAGGGTCTGGAACCACGGAGGGGGTAGAAGCTGTGCTTAGAAAGTACCTGGTTTCAACCTCTTATTCCTCATATATCCTATGGAAATATTTCCTCTGTACAGCTGTATCACTTAACTCTGATTTCCATTGCTGTGCAGAGAGCAAGCCCACAAAGCCTTTCTTCCTTCTGCATCGCGGGGAATCAACAGAGTTTGATGTCATTTTCAAACCCACCCTGGCTCAACGTCTGGAAGGGAAGATTCGTCTGTTGGTGGGGGACACCTGCTCTAACAAGATCCTAGTAGAGCTGGTGGGTGAAGGCCACAGGGACAGATTCGCCTTCAGAGGACTAAAGGAAGACACAGAGGAAAGGGATGCTAAGAGCAGTCTGAATAAAGACATCATTGATGGTAAGAGAGGAGAGGCTGCCAAGGTGGAGCAAGGAAGAGGACAATGTCTGATCATGTGTGTCCTCCCTCTAGCCAGGCCTGGGCTGTCACCCGTGGGACTTGGTGGCCTGTGGGTGTGGCAGCCATGCATGCAGAGCAGCGTGTGCTGTGCTGCATGTCACTGGCTTAGGGATGTGTCAGGGTGTTTCCCTGGAAGTGGTGGGATGGGGAACTGCCTGGGGAACTCCCTGCAGAGGGAGGAAGGCTTGGAGCAAGGAAGCATTGAACATGCAGGTGTCTGTGCACGTGAGGGGGTGGATGGAGCTCCCTGCATGCTGAGATCCCTTGCTCTCCTCCTTTACAGCTATCAGAGTGAACCACGTGGACTTTGGGCACTGTCCCGTCGGGAAGCGCTGCCGCAGGACCTTCGCCATCGTCAACCGCACCCGGCACCGGTTCCTGCGCTTTGAGTGGGAGGCAGACGGCCCATTCCACATCTCCCCCAAGGTGAGCGTGGACTGCTCTGCCTTTCCCCACTGCTCAGGCCCTGCCCTGGTGTTCCCAGGAGCTGGCAGGGAGTCCTCGCATGCCACTGATAGCCCATTCCAGTGCCATGAGGAAATGCAGTCCCTGGCTTGGCTGGGCCAAGGCTGCCAGCCTTGCAGCAAAGGCTTCGTGTTATGGGAGGTGGCACCTTCTGTTCATACTTTTGTCTATCAAACTTCACATAAATCCACTCTGAAGTGCAGATTCCTGGCACAGCTGCTCACCACATCAGTTCCTTTTGCTGTCAGTCCTGCCCTTGGCAGTGCTTCCAGTTTGGTCTTGACTCCCTGATTCCCCCTAGGTGGGACACCTCCGTCCTCGCCGTGCCAAGGAGATCAAAGTGTCCTTCAAATCAAATGTCCCAGTCACCTACAGGAGGCACCTTGTGAAATGTAAGGTGACCAAGATCGAGTTTCAGCTGCCACCAAGGAAGGTTCCGGACTGGGATGACCGAAAGTGCATTGTCTCATGGAAGACTACCCCCAGGAAAGACCCAGGAGACAAATTCTATAAAATGGAGAAGGTAAGAAGCAAAATGGCAAAAAAAGCCAACCCAGCTTTTACAAAAAGAACCACCATAACACCATCACTGCTGGCTGTGCAGCTCCTGCCTCCTCTGACATTGGGCAGCTGTGAGGTTCACCAGCAGTGCAGTCCAGGGGGAGAGGTGGATGCACAGTGACTGGATACATCCACACAAGAGGGGGAAGCCTTTGGACAAGAGACCTTTAGCCACACACAAACCATCAGTCTGTGCCACAAGCACAAGTGTTGCAGCCCATGTTGAATGGGGGACAATGTTTTATGATTTTATCCCATTTTATGGTGTTAGAAATGTCTTCATCCCATTTGGTGCCTTTTCACCAACAAGGAGGTAAGTCTGCTGCACTCTGTCTCTTCTTTTGAAGCAGAGAGAAATCCACTTCTCCTGCATATGCTGGTGAAGTCCAAGTTTTGTCTGCATGGATACCAGAGAATTTGGTTATAGTCTCTGTATTGTGTGGGATATCTCATCATGGAGTAGCTCAGGCACTGTGTGACAGTATGGAGGAGTCCAGAGAAGGATCATCTCCAGAGACTCTGACTTTTATTGTCATTATTGCCACGCAAACTCATCTTGGGTGAAGGTTAATTCTGAGTTTCTGGACCATTTTAAGGCTTCTAAGCCATCCTCTTTTCTGTCAGAACATCTGCAGTTGGAGACTTTCCTAGTGAGATCTTTCACATCCCAAAATGCCCATCCTCAGCTCCCAGCAGTGTGGCTGTTGATCCACACAAGAAATTTGGAGAGCACTTTCTCCTAAGACAAGAAGGAAAAGGTGCTTTCTAGAACTCTTCAGTCATGGGGTTCTCCATCTACAGAGCTCCAGCAGGGGAACTTAAACCAAATTTTGAGACCTGCTGGATTTATAGGGGACCAGGAAAAGAGTCCGTCCCTCTACAAGGTTGAAGTACAGGGACTGGAACACGGCTATAGTCTCCATGGGGATATTAACAGCTGTGGTAGTGACTGCTTGGATCAGTGGGTAGAAACAACTACTGTAGCAGAGCAGTCCCAATTTTGTCATCTTTCCAGGGAAGTAAAAGTGAATGGTCCTTTCCAGTCCCTCTATGAGGCTGATCTTGGAGGCCAGACGATTCCCTTCTCAGCCTGACCTTCTGGGCTCTGCACAGTGATTCCTCCCTCCTGTGTTTGCAGGTGGTCGAGCCAGTCCCCGAAACGGATCACACTGTGGTGGAGGACAGCACCCAGGAGGCCGAGGTGTGCCTCAGTGCTGCTGTTGCCTACACCCAGCTGAAGACGAACACCATCGTGGTTCAGTTCAAGGATACCTTGCCCTTCCAGACAAGGACAGCCACGTGAGTGTTGGGGGCCAGGCACAGCTCCTCCGGGGAGCAGGAGCTGCCTTTGCCCAGGGCTGGCCCAGTGCCTGCTTCCCAGAACTCTGCCCCAGCCCAAACCAGCACAGGCCATTTTACGTGCACACAAGGCCAAGCAGGAGATGATGGTCAGGAGAGCCTCAGTGCTGCCATACCTTTCTGCTGAGAACAGAAAGGTTTGCTCTCACTGCATGTCACCTGTCCTCATCTGCTCAAGAATAAGTTTGCAGTCAAACCAAGACCTAAAGTCCAGAGGAAGCCCCTTAGCTTCAGTGTCCTGGGCACCATGTTGGCCCTTTCCTCTTAAACATCCAGACTTGGAAATACTGTTTTGGGCCACCCAGGACAGCAGTCTGAGCATGGCAGGGTTGCCTGGGGAAGAAGGTGCTCCTCAGCAGAAAGTGATACCAGAAGTTCCTCAAACAATATTACTGTACTATTTGCTTTATATTTGACATTTTTTTTATTCCTCCTTCTTGCTTTTCAGTTTCAGAATTCACAACACAGGGAAGGTAGCCCTGGAATACTACTGGGAGGAACTTGTAGCTAGTAAACCAGTGAAGAAGCCATACTCAGTCGCTCTGATGCGTAAGGACATTTCACCCCAAAACATTAATTGCTTTTTCATCCTTGTCCACACGTCCACTTTCATCAGCATCTTCCCAGCTGCAGCTGGAGCATTTTCTCCTTGTCCCTCTCTGCCTTTCAGCCTTTTCTGTTCTTGCTCTGCCACTTCTGCTCTGCAAAGGAGCTGAGCCAGGCTCTGGGGAGAGCCACGTGCTGGGTCAGGACTGGGAAGGGGGACATCAGGTCATCTCTTGGAGAAGTCTGAGACTGGGAAAAGCAGTGGCGTAACGAGTGAGCTGCCCTGCAGCCACTGTCTGTGTGCAGTTCCCCACTCCAGGGCAAATGCAAAGTCACTGTCTAAAAGCAACTCTCCTGCTTTGGCACAGGAATGTGTGCTGCAGGCAGAGACCCTGCTCCCAGACGCTCTCTTTCCTTCTAGAATAAAGTACTTGGCCAGATATGCTCCAAGTGCATCCCAGCTCTCTTCCACCTATGTGCAGCAGGAGGCAGAATTGCTGGGAACACAGGTCTTTGAAAGGTGTCCTCTTGCTCCCTGCAGGTCGGTTCCTCTCCAATAAAGTTGTAAAGCATCGCAGAAAGCTGCTGCGTCGTTACTGGCGGCGGCTGGCCCGTCCTCCTAAAGTGCGGCGGCGGCGGCGCCAGCTGCGGCGGCCTCTCAGGAACGAGGACTTTACCCAGTGGTGGTGCCAGCTGGTGCGCCTGGATCCCGACCTATTGCTGGGTCCTCTGGATGAGGAGGATTCCAAGCAGCAGCAGGGTTCCAAGCAGCAGCAGGGTTCCAAGAAGCAGCAGGGTTCCAAGAAGCAGCAGAGTTCCAAGCAGCAGCAGCAGCAGCAGGATTCCAAGCAGCAGCAGCAGCAGCAGCAGCAGCAGCAGCAGCAGCAGCCCGAGCAGCAGCAGCAACAGCAGGGTTCCAAGCAGCAGCAGCAGGGTTCCAAGCAGCAGCAGCAAGGTTCCAAGCAGCAGCAGCAGCAGCAGGGTTCCAAGCAGCAGGATTCCAAGCAGCAGCAGCAGCAGCAGCAGGATTCCAAGCAGCAGCAGCAGCAGGATTCCAAGCAGCAGCAGCAGGATTCCAAGCAGCAGCAGCCTTCTAAGCAGCAGCAGCTTTCTGAGAAGGAGCAGCTGGATTCCAAGCAGAAGAAGGGTTCCAAGAAGCAGAGCCGCTCCAAGGAACAGCACCTCCCTGAGCAGCAGCAGCAGCAGCCCGAGGAGCAGCAGCCCGAGCAGCAGCAGCCTGAGCAGCAGCAGCCCGAGGAGCAGCAGCCCGAGCAGCAGCAGCCTGAGGAGCAGCAGCCTGAGCAGCCAGCCCCTTCCAAGAAGAAGAAAAAGAAAAAGCACATCTCTCTGCAGCATACCAGTTCCTCCATGGAAATCTTCCCAGATCTGACCGATGAAACACCGGCAGCACTGTTCTCCATCGACCCCTACCGCGGCACCCTGGCTCCTGGCGAGATGCAGACCTTCCATCTGCGCTTCTCCCCGAAGGCTGTGGGGAAGTTTAAGACCATCATGGTGTGCAGGTGGGAAACGTCTCTGCCAACTCATGCTATCAATGGGTGTCACTGAATCACAGGGTGGGACAGGGTGGAAGGGACCACAGGAGGTCATCTGGTCCCACTTCCCTGCTCAGGTGGGGTCCTCCCAGAGCACAGGGTTGTGTCCAGAGGGCTCTGGAATAATTCCAGTGAGGGACACTCCACACCCTCTCTGGGCAAGCTGTCACCTACACAGGAAAAAAGTTCTTCCTCAGGTTCAGGTGGAATTTCCTGTTCAGGTTCTGCCATTGCCTCTTGTCCTATTGCTGGGCATCACCAAGCACAGCCTGGTTCATCCCCTAACACCCTCCCTTCAGTCCCTCTGACTGGAATGGGGAGGTGGGCATGGAGTCAGGCAGCCCCAGAGAGGCAGCAGAAACACCCACAGGAGCACAGAAAGATCATCATCTGGCCTTGGAAGGGAGGCACTGGGAAAAGACACCGTATGAAACATCACGCTCCTGGAAGGTTGCAAAATCTGGAACGAGAGATCTGGGGACAAGCCAGTCCCTAGCTCTGCTTCCTTTTGGGACAAGCAAGGCCTGCTTCTCTGCATGGAACCCTGTGTGCTGTAGTTGGTTCCCAGGCACTTAACTGGTCATGTTCCTGCCCTTGCACCTCTGTGCAGTGAGTGCATTTATTTAATCTGCTGCTCACTGCTTGCACAGAGAGAGGATGCAACACTGTGCTCTGCAAGGAGACAGAAAAGCAGCTGGCTGGAAATGATCCTCTGGCTAACACCAGTCCCCTTCTTCCTAGGATTCCTAAGCTGAGGCCAAGTCAGAAGAGGGTGCGGGTGATTTTGAAAGGCAGGGCCCGGGACAAGAAGAAGAAGAGCTTTGGTAAACCCAAACGCCCGGCGTTACGGCAGAGGGAGGAGAGCCCGAGGCCCAAGAAGCATGTGCACTGGAAACTGCCCCCTGAGTGACAGCGTTTGTGTCAGCTGGAGCCTCCACAGGAGCCAGCAACACCGTGCCTTCTGCTGCTGATGGTCTCCCACCCTTCACCAGAGACCTCCGCAGCTACCCTTCCAGTGAACACCTCTAGCTTATCTTTTAGTTACCTAAGTTAATTAACTAACTGTTGTTTAATTGTTAATTAAACAACTGGCAATAAATCATTAGTTGTCAGCTTGTCTTGGTTGGAAAGACAGGTGTCTGCGGGACCTCTCTGGAATGGAGAATGTGACCTCCTTCCCTCCAAATTATTATAACTGAAATTAAGGGGCTTTCAGGCAAAGATATGGGAAAAGGAGTAGCAGTTCTTTACTAGCATGTAAGGCAAACAAAACCAACACTGGCAGCAACAACAAACAGAACCAGATACCCAACCTTCCCTCGGCTGCAGGCACTTCCCCTTTGCTGTAGTTCTGGTCACAGCTGTGCAGGGAAGGGAGGCAGATAATGAATAAAGCAATTACTAGAGAAATTTTAATTAAGCTACACCAAGGAATACACTGGAGAGCTCAAGCACTGTGTGATCAGTTTGGAAGAACTTATTGCTGTGAGGGAATCTATACAGGAATCAAACAGAGACTGAACAATGTTGTTAAAATTTGTTAAAAGGTAAATAAGAAAGTGATGAGAAAACATCCCAGTGAGGGAAGAGCCCTAGCCCTTAGACCCTTTCAAAATATGCAAATAAATTACACTGAGTTCCCCAGAATACAGAGATGGAAATACCTTCTTGTAATAATTGATCACCTCACCCACGGGGTAGAAGCCTTTCCTACCTCAACTGCAACTGCCTCCAAAGTGGCTAAGATGCTATTAGAACAAACATTCCCAGATATGGGATAATGAAAGAATAGACTCAGAGAAGGGAACACACTTCAGAAATTTTGCATTCTATATGTGTTGAATTAGACATAAATTGGAGATTTCATACCCCGTGGCACCCTTAAGGCTCTGGATGTGTGGAGAGAATGAATGCTATCCTTAAGAACCATATTACCAAATTCATGATTGAAAGCAGATTAGCACTATTACGGATCAGAACTGCTCCAAGTAAGGACATAGGAGTTTCTCCCAATGAAATGTTACTTGGGTTACCTTATCTGGGAAGGGAGGAGGGGTTGCCAATGGCTGAAACGAATGACTTAGATCTCAGAAATCATTTGCAGGCAATTGCACTCTCTCTCATGGATCTTAGAAGAAAAGAGTTGTTACCCCAAACATCACCTCTAGACTTTCACATACGCCAGGTAAAACCAGGAGATTGGGTTCTAATAAACTTGGAATGATGATACCTTAACAGCAGCGCGGGAAGGTCCCTTTCAGGTACTTTTAACAACTGAAACAGTTGCCAGGACTGCAGAAAAGCTCTCACGCCTCTCAAGTCAAAGGGCCAAGTGGAAGCTCCTCCCCAAACTTGGACAGTGGTACAAGGAAGTGACCCTTAAAAGTTAATCTTCAAAAGATGATTTAATAGTGAACAGTCAAGGGCAAGACTGGACTGACCTCTGTATTTGCCACCTGAGAGCCTTTTGTTCCACTGTGGGCTGCACCCCCTTGGGTGTTGAGCAGTGGGAATATGAGGCAAACCAGACTTTGACAAAAGAGGAATAGGAAATGATGTTCTAAGACTCTGCAAATTGCTGGATGGAGTGTCATGGCTTCTATGCTTCACCTCTGCATGCCTGCAGTGTGCTGTTCTAGTGCACAGAACTCGGGAAGCAGGTATGGATACCGAGGAAGGTAACCTTTGGTGCTACAGTCACCCTCTGAGGTTTGCATCGTCCCAGCAAGCACGGATGGAACTGCTCATGGCAGGCACTGCACACAAGCGTATCTACATCCTACTTTGCTTGAGTTGGAGGAGAACTATGGACAGCAACCAGAACTGACAAATCAGGAACCTTTAAATAGACTGAATTTAACATCGACCTAAGAAAAGATGGATTAATCTTATTTATAACTGCTTCACAAAAGGAGCCAGTTTGTGCTGACCAGATGGGGTAATTAAACCAAGGGCTTCAGCAAAAACAGGATAATAAGGGAAAGAGTGGATTGTGAGAGATGAGGTGAGATTTTGTTGAAGCCAAAAGGTTGTTAGGTTAAAGAATGAAAGGTGTTGTTTGGATTGTTTCAATTTGTTCTGGTTGGTTCAGTGTTGGTGCTGGAACACCATGACCTTCCCTGTGTGCATGTGCTTATTATATTAAGAAGAAATAGCCACTGGTGTCGGTGTCCCTCTGAGGGAATGAGGGAAGATGACCCTTTACTACATGGGCCAGAGAAGTCAGCACTTGGGTTTCTCTACAGAAAAAGACAAATCCTCTCTGCACCCGTTGGCATCTCCAGCTGCTTGTCCGCAGTGAATTTAATCTTAGTTTTACATGAGATGTGGTCATGTGTACTCTGGAGAACTGAAAACTGCTACAGGATTGAGGAGGGGCCAGGACATCTGCTGCTGTGGCATATAGTCTTGGTCACACATTCCACCTCAGGCTGCTGCCACTGGAGCCCCTCGGCCCCCACTGAGTCCCAAAGGGTGACTGAGACCGCTGGTCATGAGCTTCCCAGGGGCTTGGTTTAACCCTTTCCCAGAAATGGCTTTTCCTTTAAATACTGCAGTTGGAAATCAGAGAAAGATCTGTATGGGGCCTGCCTGCATCCTGCTAAGGGGTGTCCTCATGCTATGGAAACACTTCAGCAGGACAGAGGGGTTTGCTTATTAACTCCGGGATAGAAGCAGCAGTTTTTAGCCTGCATGTGTCAGCCGAGGAAGCAGAAACCACCGCATGATGGCATTGTCTGCTACAGAGAGAGGCAGAGGCTCTTCCAGCTCAGAAAACCCCGCAGGAGCCTTCCCTGGGGGCAGAGCGTGGTGTGAGCTCCACGCACTCGTGTTCAAGATAAGGTTACACTGCCACTAGACTGGACTAACCCTCTCAAAATGGCTTTTTCCTGATGGAGGAATCTCTCTGTTCCCAGCTCCTGGCTGAGATGTTTGAGCAGAACAATCAGAGCCTGGCAGGGACCTGCTCTTGTGCTGCAGTATTGCATGAGGAGGGTGTCGCCTTACACTGAGGGAAACTGCGAGCAGCTCTTCGAGAATTCGACGGTCAGGAACGAAATAAAGTCAACTGAGACAAACAGTTATTGGTAACGAAAAAAGCAAAGACTTACTCTACTAAGGATGGCTAGAAAAGACAGAGCAAGAGGAAGAAAAATGGGAAAGGAGTTGGTGGGGGAGACAGAGGCCTGGCTTGGGGGTGGGGAGGGCTGGACACAGGTGGCTCAGGGACACAGAGATGAAACAGGCAGGGCATCGGTCAGGGATGCAGGGAGACAGAACAGATGTGAGGGCGAGCAAGATCCAGCAAGGGCCTCAGCAGGCTGGAGTCAAAGCAGAAACAGGACATAAAAGGCCCCCAGACTCAAAAAGCAAGTTTCCAAAGCCTCCCCTCGCTCAAAAAGCAAGTTTTGAAAAAACCCCATGGCTTGTGTTGCAGTTATTTTTATGCCCATGTCTCCTCCCAAAGCCTGCCTGCTGACAGGAGACCACTGGCCCAGCCCAATGTCCCAGTGCAGCCCCTCGGCAGAGACCTTTAGCCATGGATTGCAGAGTGTCTGGGGTACAGTGCCTTTGGGGTTCCCCTGCTGACAGCCTGTCCCTTGTGACACATGAACTGGCTGCCAGGCAAAGCCTCCCTGGAAACAAGGCTTTCCTCCATCTTCTCCTTGGTGCCTCCTGGACAGGGCACTCGTATAACCCATTCCCCATATGCCTCTGACAACCAGGGTTGAGACAAGTCACAAGTATATTGGCTCCTCAGACAGGGTAATATGCTGTCACTGGTTTTGACACTGATGTGTCTGTGCCACAGTTTCCCAATTAGAGGCCTCAATTTTCTCTTGTTTTAATGATTTAAGGTTACTTCCTCCCTTTTAACTTCAGTTATTCCCTTTCTGTTGTTGCTTGCCAGCAGCAGGAGATGTAATCACTGTACCTGTCCATGAGAATCTTTGATAGAATTCTTGGCAGCTCCCTCTAAAACTCACCAAGACTTGGCTCTGTATTTATCTGAGGAGGGCTGAGGTGCCCTGGTTCATGTCTGCCTGCTCATCCAGGGAGCTGTCTGATAGTTGTGCTGTTCAGTTGTTTCTGTAGAGCTTTTGAAGTCTCCTGCAGGCCTATTTCCATAGCCCTGAAGCTGGAGCACGGCTGGAAGATGTGTATTCTGTGTCCCTGATGCTTTTTGCCTGCAGTTCCTCAGACCACTGAACACTTAAAAGATTTCTTTCCTGTCCTAAAGGAATGTTTTATTTGGATAGGGCACACACTTTCAAAAGTAGCTCACAAACCTCTTTGAACAGTTTTACATAAATTTCTTTTTGATGTGCTTTCCTTCCATGAGCTGATACCAAATTCTTTTCTTTAGGTGTGTTTGTAGGGCACTTCTTTTGTCTTCCTTTCTTCATGTTCCTACCCACGCTTCTCTCTCAAAATAGAGAAGGTTCAACACCCCTGCCACCACCACCTTGTTAAAATAAAAGAAATAACCCACAATGTTGACTTTCTGGAGCAGTGTTCAGCTTTTTCTAGCTTATAATTAAGCTTCTCTTTTAACTTGATTAACCCAACAGTAAATTTAACTTTTCTAAACTGAAGAAATTAAAAGCTTGAATTAAAGATCTGAAAATATTATAAGCCTCTTCCATCTTCCTCCTATGGGAGTGACTTCAAGGTGATTAGAGATCCAGCCTCTTAGTGCAGAAATTCCTTTTTGGACTACACATGCATGCTTGACAATCCCACTGATTTCAAGGTCTCTGGGGAAACTTGGGTGACATTCAGCAAAAATAATTCTGATGCTGCAGCTCAACCAAGATAGTGTTGGCTTTTGGATTTGGATCTGATTTAGTAACATAATCCCCTTCTTCAGCTGAGATTCCAGATACCAGTCAGCATCTCCATGTTTAA